CGAAATTTCGATTCTAGACGAATGAAAATATTTTATCCAGTCGCGCGTGAATGTTTAATCGTATTACGCATTGTTTTTCCCCCAAGTGCGTTGTTAGATTCATAATTCTAAATTATACCAATTTTAGTTACTTTTAATCATTTCTATAAGTCGCCATAATTCCTAATCATGTCGTTGATTTGAGTAAAAAAAAACAATGAAATTAAGTTAATTCGAGACAATACATTTAGTTTGATTCAAATTTAGTTTCTTATTTACTAAGTATGTACATACTACGTTAATACGAACGTTGTTTGCTTTGAAACTAATCACAAAATAGATTAATTTACACACAGCGATCGGATGATTTTCCTCTTAAAACACGAGATGGAGGTATCAATTCATTGCGATGTACACACGAATAAGATCGTACTTTTCTAACTATGAATCGTTCATTAACATATTTCGCTCAAGTTTCCTCCTCGAATATTGCAATTTCTTTCTTTCTCTCTTTTTTAATATACATTAGATTGATATCTGTAGTCAAAAGCAGAAACGATTAAGAAATAGTCGATCTTTTAATTTAAACGCTCACCATATCCAACTTCGATCATCTTCTCGTGTCGGGCACAGCACGTGTGCTGTCGCGGTTCTTCTGAATGCACTTTTCCCTCATTTCCCGATTCCTTCTCGCAAAAAGCTAAGCAATAAAAATCGAGGCGATCACGAGTGGAACTTAATCGATGAATTTAAAATTTATAATTGGAATTAAATGGGAGTTAGACGCTCCTTAAACGATATGATATTAATGACATAAAATAGGTCTATACTACTTGGTTGATTTAAACAAAATTAAGAACTAAAATTCTAAATTTTAATTTGAACTCAAAATTTGGATGCACAATTGAAATTAAATCGCGTTTTGCAGAGACTACTCTTTTTGAAGCAACAATGGAAATTGGTGTAATCTTGAGTTCGATTTTTCATTATGTGCTTCTCTTTTGCCAAACGATTCTGTCATCGTGAAAGAAACAAAGATTATTGTGCGTAGCATCAAGATTTTAACTTCTTAAAATTCCATTATTATTATTAATATTCGGAATGAATCTGGCATAAAAAATATTTATAAAAATTGTAATTATTATTATATGTATAAGGAGAGTTGTAAATTGAATTTCAATATCTGAGAGTAAACCCAGATTTTTCGTCTCAAACGTCTTTTATTAGAGATCATTCGAAAAATTATTAAAAATTTCATTCTTAAAAAATCGAAAATATAGATGCTCTTTTTTTACTCTCTAAATTTTGTAGAATCTCACTCTAAAGAGTGAAATCTCTTAGAGGTTCAAAATTTTTTTCTAGAGTGGCAAAACTTTTATTCTTTAGAGTGAGAATCCATTCCAAAGAATTTAAAGTGTATATTCAATAATTCTGTAGAACATGTGTAGAATTTATGTACAATATATGTGTATGATCGTTACGTGTGCTCTGACGGATGAGAGGAAAGCAGAACGGAGAAAAAGGGAGAGGCTAATCAGCAGCATTACCTAATCGCAAATTAGCCACGCAAACTATAGCGAAACCAGCGAGGACGGTCCATCGTCCCCTCGTGCTTTGTACACGCATACCGATTGTCGAGGATGACAAATGCGGATAACAAACGCGGGAACGTTCACCGACGAAAAGGAAAGACCGATCACCTCGTGATCTCTCTCACGATCGTGTCGCGAATCTCTGGATCACCAGAGGATGCTTTCGAAGCATCCGGATGTGCGATACCGCTGCTTTTTTTTCAAAGAACGCGATAGATACGCGGGGGTAAGTTGGCGAAGACAATAGTTGGATCGAAGGATCGGTATCGAAGCTTTTTATGAAGGATCGATCACGTATCGAGCTCGTGCTGCCTACGCAGCTTGCAATCTGCGGGAAGACTGGTCGTCTGCAGTAGCTGGCTGGGAGACGTCCGGCTGACAGCGGTGGATCTCTATTAATCTCGTTTGGTAGACGGGACCCGCTTCGTGACGGATCGTCCATCATAGTCTCTTGCCGACCCGGTCATCGTCGACGGCCGCTCGATTTTACGCTCGCGAACGCACGTTCTGATTGGCCATCCCGGGTATTTTTTCGTTTCTTATACCTCAGATGAGCGTAAGGTGGAACGAAGACGTACGCGATGAATCTCGTGAAAGAATAACTCTGATTCGTAGTTAATGATTGTCGAGATCTTTCGTTTTTTTTCTTTACCGCTCTATATATTTAGCGCAGCCATGTTTTACCGGTTCAGTAGAACGTACAGACATATAATTTGGTTTCTACAATAATAAGTCGTATCCAAGTTTTAAATGTTAAGTCGTAAAAAATTGACCAATCACAATCGATTATTCTTCTCAGATTCGACTATCATTTTTCTTATTGAGTAAATATTTATTTACTGTAAGTAATTTACTTAGTACTGTTTAAAGAAATATTCCAGACAACAAAAAGTGTCTAAAATCAGGTCATAAGACATTTTTTTGCGTCTAAAAGACGATTTAAAGATCATGTCATAATTTTAAACTTTTTGTTGTTTGGAATGTATTAAGATTTATTAGGTGTTGGAATTAATTCGTAGCGTTTTTTAATGAAAGAATGTTATTTATTTCACATGAGCATTAAAAAATACATTAATGAAAGTACTTCCCATCACTTGTAAAACGCTACGAATTAATTCCAACACCTAATAATAAATTTTTTCCAGCGTACGCAGTCATTATTTTCTATTATTAACTTCTTGGAGCGCAATCTGAAATCATCAGAGCGCGATTATTCCTCGAATTCGCGATATGTCAGTTCAGTACGATTTAAGCATAAGAGGATCTTTCTTGATTAGATATCTGTCCTATTCTGAGGCAGATATCTAATCAATATCATTTCACATAATACCATTTCATAAAAGATAATATATCTCGTTTTCCTGGTAGAACCTTTCGTGACTTTCTCTCGTCTCTTTCCGTTCTCTTTCCTTAATGATATTTGTGTTGCTGGAATTCAGGGCGAAGAAGAAGCAGGATATAGCAGAAAAAGGATCCAAAAAGGACTATTTGTCCCTTCTGCTTTTTGCCGCGGCTCAAGGGAAGGGGGAATCATTCGTCCGGTTGCAGCATCATCGCATCTGATTACACGGGGAGATCTCTTGCCCTCCTTCCCTGCCCTCCGCGCTCGTTAACATCCGCGTTACCGTCAGGACCGTTGAGAGGTTCACGCGAGAGAGGTCATTATCATTATCCATAAATTACCGCTCGCGCGAATCTCAATTTCGTTCATCGCAACCCGCCAGAGAGAGCTTGGGGGAGAGGACATTATTCGACGGAGTCGTCCAGTCCAGTGGTGTACAGAATGTTGATACAAAGCAGAGAAAAGGAAGAGAGAATGAAAGACGAATTTATTGTGAATTTGCTAAGGAAAATGTACCAGAAATATAGGTAGTTAAAAAAATAAATAGATAAAAAGTACATTCTTTGTCAGGTTTTTTTGAAAACGGAGCAATAATATGCCAGACGGTTTTTAATTGTATCTCGTCGATAGTAATGCTAATGCCGGCGGTATTGTAACTTTCAAGCCTTATAACTCGAAAAGTATTCAATGAAAAATAACTATCATAGTGTTTTGAAATATCGATTCTCGACAGCTATTAGATACTGAAATAAAAAATAGGGTATTCCATTTAAAAAAATGATCCACCTTGAAATGTCCGAAATATCCTCAGTGCGTCCATCTATCAAATAATTATTTCCATTATGCGATGTCCTTCTTTGTACTGAACTGTTGATATAAACCATTTTTCCGTATGTCTTCAAATTCCGTATGTCTTTAAATTTTTTAATAAATAAACCGGTCACTTTATACGAATCACTCTGTACATATAAAAAAAATGCAGCACAACAAAAATTGATGAAAAAATTCTTGAAGTTCTACGAGGAGAAAATAAACAATTTCTATCTCTCACATTTTTTCTGTTAAATTGATAGAATGTGAGAAAAAAATTATTGAAGATCAGTCTGATCTATCTGCATAAGAGTGCTTGGCAAAACATTTCGGGACACCCAGTAAATATATGTATGAAAAACTTTATTATATAAAGCGCCACGGACGCGCCTTCGTTATAATGAAATTTTCACTGTCAATAATAGTATAATAGAACAGATCAAAACAAATTAAATTTTTTGTTATAGTTTAAGATTGGCCGAATTTTTTAATTTTTTATTCATACTGATTGGATGATTAATTTCTCAGAAAAAAAAATCGCAAAAGTAGTCACTTTTTTAAGTTTAGACATTTTTTCATTATCTCAATAATTATTGATTTAAACAAAAAAGTCACACAAAAAACGTCTATTTTGATTCAAGTAAGACTTACATATAATATAAGTACATACATGAGTAAGTCGTACAAAAATAATAGTCAGGACGTATAATCAATATTAAAATTAGACTAGATTCTGAAGACGTAGCCAGGTAAATTAATACTACTAACTAATTGTTTATTCATCAATACATTTAGAATAAGTTTTTTATGCTTAGTACAGTGTAAGTATAAAAAACATAATAAAAAAAGAGATATTAGTCAGAACTCGACAGTGATTCTCTTTCAATATTCTCGCATTCGTTACATAGCGTGTTCAAAGTACATCGCGAACAATTCGCTCGCGTCGAAAATACATGTGAACTTTTTTAGTACATGAAAACATTCGAGATAATTCACAATTCAACGGTACCGCGATACGATTATCAATGCGTTTTACATATCTTTTATGCGTTCCTGAGCGTGAAGAAAAGAGCCGATCCAAGAGGAAACTGTTTCTGCCGAGTTGCACCGAAACATCAAGTCACATCTTCGCCTTCCTTATAGCCATTCTTTTATAGCATTCCTTTATGTTTTCAGATACAGTTTGCTCATGCCAGATCACATATTCGGTTCCTCTACCAACGGAAAAGATCGTCTCAGCCCACGACTCGCTTCAAGCCTTCAGGTCGTCGTTATTCTTTATTTGTGACCCTCTCTATTGCTCGAGTTCATCTCTTCTGTCTGTTCGGTATCCGCTGATTCCGCTTGTATTCGGCATTCTTCTCCACGCAATGCTTAGCGCTTACCCACCATATTGTCTTTCCTACTTTGTCATTAGCTGGTTTTATGAATTATATGCGCATGTATCGCTGACTCTATATCTGCTTTTTTGTCAGTTTGTTCTTCACTTATCGTACAGGTGTCACTTATGTAATCCTAAAAATAAATAATTTTTTACATCTAAAATGTATTTTGGTATATTGCAATTATCTACCATATTGTTATAAGTATATAACAGAAATAGGAAGACAAATGAGAATTTACTTAAATCGATTAAATGTTTTCTCGTGAATCACCTTATGTTGCTCACGAAAATGAGTACGAAGTAGTTTTTTATATATAAAGTCCTTGTCACATACCAAACATTCAAATCGCTTTTTATTATTGTATACAAATCTAGGCTGGACTTCGTTGTGGCTGGAACGAAGGTCTTTGTCGTGATTGGAACGAAGGACTTTGTTGCAAACCTAAAATAAAATATCATTTATGATTACAGGAATGTGAAAATAAAAACAATCATATATAAAATGTGTTTTGATATATTATATGTATGTATAATAATTATCTGTCATAATAATTATCTGTCATTATAAATATATAATAGAAATAGGAAGACAAATCAGAATTTGCTTAAATCGATTAAATATTTTCTCGCGAATAACCTTATTTCGCTCATGTCTTCGAAGTGAGCGTCTACCTTTGAAGTAGTCGCCACATACCGAACATTTAAATAGCTTTTTATCGTGTTCCAAACTGTGCATGTCTTTGTCTGTCATTATAAGAAAACCTTTGCCGCAAATCTGAAATAAAGTACATTTATTATTACAGAAATTTAAAAACAAAAACAATCATATGAGAAATAATTAGAAAAAAATGATAATTTTATAGCACATACCTCGCAAATATATTCTGCATGTATTTCTAAGTGCCGTTCTAAGTGGCTAGGAGAGGCAAATGTACAAGAACATTTATCACATTTATGTATTTCGATATGAATCGTGCTTATATGATAATTCAAACAGTCCCGAGTTCTGAAAATACGATACACTTTTAATTTTCATCAATGCAATGCTTCGCCTTTATGTCACTATTAGAGTTCCTCTTTGATTACGAAATGATCATTTCGCAACATTTATCATTTGTTATCAATTAATTTAAGCTAAATATCAAATAATTTCTCTAATTTTTATTCCTCAACTCACTTAAATGATGCTTCGCATGACTTGCATTTATAAGGTTTTTCCCCTGCATGAATCGGCTCATGACGAAGCAAATCCGCTTCATACTGAAACGTTTTACCACACTTTCTGCATTTATAAGGTTTAACTTCTTTATGTACTTCTTTATTATGTTTTGTGAAATCTCTCGTGAAGGTAAATTCCTTATCTTTAATATTAAGGAAGATTGTTGTTGTAAAACGAATATGAAAATGGTAACATAAAACTGATAACTGTTGAAATAATATAAAAATTATCAAAATATTAAAAATATCAAAATATTAAAAATATTAATCATGAAAAAAATAATCACTTAAATCTTACCGCAATGATAGCATATATATCCTTTTGGGTCATTGTGCTTTTGTTCATGTTGATTCAAATTTTGCGAATTTTGAGATTTAGAATTCATTTTTTTTAGATTCAAATCCCAATCTTTTCAGAGATATTCTCAATTACTTTTATAGTAATGTTCTTTGAATTCTTTTTTTAGTCCTCACTGTTTAAATTTTTTCAAATGTTTACTATCAAGTTTATCCACCTAAAGACGTAGGAAAATAGAATTTTTGACTTTATAAATTTTTTATCAAAGAAATCATATCACGAAAGATCGCCGTTAACGTAACTATTTTACTCATTAAACGCTTTAAACATTTTTTGCAAAACGGCAGGAGAATATTGACGTCTGAGCCATAGAAAATGCTATATCAAGAAAAATATAAAGAAAGGTCTATGTCAAGAAATTATTTCGCGTGGATGAAGACCGGTCTATGTCAGAACGCATACGAAGTACGATTGATACCAAGAAAGGGACAAGAATGATTTAAGTTGCACGAAATTAAAGAAGAGTTTATATAGCGCAATATTTTCTTCTCATAAATTTTATAGTGATATGACTGAGAACGGGACATCTTGATTTTTAATCCTGTTTTTTGCACTCATTTACATCTATTATTTAATTTTCCGTAACAAAATTCGTGTAATTTATGAGTAGTAAATATTGCGCCATATACATACATTAGACCCTTCATTAATTTCATACGACTTAAACCTTGTTCTTTCTCGATATCAACTGTATTTCATATGACAATGTCTAAAACAACGCCGATGTAATATTCATAACTCAGATATAGAATTATCAAAGATGCGCGTGTACTGTTTTTGATAGATTGATATCCTACAATACGTTTTCACAATAATAGCACTACATAAAAACTTTATCGAAATCTGCCATCATATTTTAGCCATCATCTTTTACTACTAAATTGATATATTTTATCGTTAGTGATACTATATGTAATTTGGAACATTTATTTTATATATAAACATTTCTTCATTTCTTTTTGATTTACATAAATAAAATATTCATTTGAAAAATGTAGATCAGTTACTAGTTCCTTTTTATATTTAAATAATTATAGTATTTTCCATTAAATATTACATATCACAAGATTCTTTAGCATTTATTTTCATGTATGGTTGAATTTAATTATATTTATTAAGAACAGCGCTACACATTTATTGATGTCGTTAATTAATTATACAAGGTTAAACGTAACGTATGTACTTTTAAACATTTATTCAGAGTGTAATATCATACGAATTGTCTTATGGTTTTTATAGTAGGCAGTAAGTTGCATTAAATTTCATGGAAAAAATTGAAAACTTGTTAAATCTTACAAATGATGCCATCACGAAAAGATTTGTTTTAAATATCGATATAGAATATAAAATAATTTACATGTTTATATACAAAAAATATTATTAGGTGTTGGAATTAATTCGTAGCGTTTTACAAGTGATGGGAAGTACTTTCATTAATGTATTTTTTAATGCTCATGTGAAATAAATAACATTCTTTCATTAAAAAACGCTACGAATTAATTCCAACACCTAATACTATTCATAATTTAATTGTTTTTTATTGCTAAACATTTAATTTTTATTAATTTCTTTTTATTTATAATTGATTTTTGACTATCACTAATTTTAAATAAAGTTGAATGTGTTAAAATTGCATTATGATCTACAATTAGACTCAACAATTAGACTGTCTTTTCGTAAAGTTCTAAGAATTTTTTTCAGAATTTTTTCAGAATTTTTTTAATAGTTGCCAATTTATATATGCGTACATATATACATATAAGAAAATGGAGCACTAAAAAGTTGATAAAAAATTCTGAAAAAATTCTTAGAGTTCCATGAAGAGAAAATAAACGATGTCTTTTTCTAATCTTTAGAACTAGAAAAAGACGAAGGATAAATTGAACCGAGATTAAAGTTAATCTACTTGGTGGAAATGGTCATAAATCATATAATTTTTATATAACAAATACTTTTTTCTCTTTCGAAAATCCCCTTTTCCAGGATTAAAGTATATTTCCAGGATATACGCATTAATACGTGTTTGTGAGGTGGAGTTTTTTGTCGAGAACGACCAAAAATTTCGAGATTAATATATTTTTTATCAGGATTGTGTCGTAGGTTTTAAGATTACGTCTATCACGGATTATTTACGTGAAATCTACGTGATGTTTACACGATCTTTTGTCACGTGAACAATATAGACCATGTAGACTGTGTTGTAAAATTTATCAGTAACATGTTTTGTAAAAGAATTAAAAATTAAATTACAAATACGTGTTTGTGAGGTGGAGTTTATGTCGAGAACGACCAAAAATTTCGAAATTGATATATTTTTTAACCATTTCTTAGTGCAACATGGTGTCTCGAGCTGTCAAATCGTGACAACATTTGTTTGATAGTTTTGCAACTTGTACTTACGAAGTAGTAATCCACAAACACGTAATTTGCACGAACAAATAACGTCGAGTTCTTAGAATTAGACTTAGACGCTTTATTGCGACGAATTTGTTATACGAAAATTGACACGATATGCGACTGCATGTATTATAGGTTGCGTGAGATATTGGTGTAATATATAATGATGTTGATGCACAGTGCGACCCCTAGTGATTTCGATCAAAGTCGTTACAAATGCTTTGATGCATTTGATAGATCAATTAGAAGAAAGAATTTTACAAACTGATTTAAAAAAGTGTTTATAGCATTGTCGCGTTGTACCTTTTGGAGTTCGAGCTCCGCTTTAAGATTTTTTTAAAACGTGTGTTATTTTATATTGATGATTTGAGAGAGGTTAGCTTGAAATCTAACTTAAAATTTCTCATTAAAATCTTGCAGCTAATATGTAAATAAGTAAGTTAATATGAGTTAATATATAAATAAATAAGGAATTTAATTTGAAATTATATTGATCTTTGTTTTTATAAAACATAAAAATATAGAATTTACAAGTTTTATGTATATATATGGGGGATACAATCAAGCTAGAAACAAAATATTTTGGATTTTTTTCTCTCTTTATGAGTATTTTAACAATTGTTTAATAATATTTCAAGCGTTTAATCGAATTTAAAATCATACTATTCAAATATTTCAATAGATTATTCTAAAAAATGTTTTCTTGAGCCATGGTCTGATTCATGCTGACAACGCTCATGAGTATTATTTGTCTTTGTTTAACATTGGACAAACAACAAAACTGAAATGATGTAATAATTCTTCAGAAGAGTATAGTCGCCCCGAACCAAGGATAGCCTATACACTCCACTGTCTACTTAACAGATCAGATCATTAGATTAATGATCCTGTTATGTAGTGACATTTTAGTCAACTTTAACGCTCAAAGTTTCGATTCGCAGGATAGTCTAGGACTTTTCTGTCAGATTCTTTTATTTTATGCGAAGACGCGTCGAATGAGCCAAATTTTATTAAAATCGAAGATGACCTAACCTCAATAGTTGTCAACTTTAACGCTCAGTATCTTGCTTCGCAGAGCATTCCTGGACGTTTTTCTGCTAAATTCTTTCATTTTACACGCAAAAACGCGTCGAATGAATCTAATTTCATCGAAATCGGAGGTGAGTAAACCCTTCTGAAGAATTACCGAAATGATTTTTAACTCTTAATACACACGTCTGGGTCATTCGTGCCCTATTTTTTTTCTGTTTTTTTTTTTAAATGCCAAGAGCAAATATCAATCTCTTTTCTATTTCTAAAAAAAAGTTTGGCATCTAGAGAAGAAATTTTGTGCGTTACCGGCCTCAATTCGTACATATCCTTTAACTGGATAACTCCTAATTTCTGAATGACAAACTCAAGATGTGCACAGAGTGTACATTTTTTGTAACTAAAAATTTTTATTTTTTTCTTTATTTTCAACTAATTCTTGATTGTATTGCAAGAATATTTCGCGAATTATTAAAAAAAGAATTTAATCCTAAAATATATTAGCCCTTAATAAATGCGATTTTTGATATCTATTCTAAATGTTGTCAGTAATATTATATATCATGTTGTCTGTAATGTTATAAAGAACATTTTCCTTAAAATAAATTATAAATTTTTTAATACAATAGCAATAATAAAATCCATTGATTTAAAATATAAATGCAATATCATATATATCTTCAATTTATAGCCATTCATGCATATTAAAAAAACATCGTTTTCAAGTTACTCAATAACAAAACTTTCTAAAGATGTCAAAATATATGTAAAAACCATTTAATAATTTATATTCTTGTAAAAGTGATAAAAATTAAACCAAGACACGAATAACCGAACGTATATTAAGGATGCCAAAAACTAACGTGTGTACTAAGGATTAAATGTCGTGAGTATGAATCGAACCGCAGCCTTTATTTAATAGATCTGTTTTAAATATCTTATATCATTCATCTTTTTCTTTTTGTTTTCTTTCCACATTAAGATGAATAGTGTAGTTTTTTAAATTAAGAGACAGATCAATTATTATTTTTACAGAATGTCTACTAAATCAAGAAAGAGCTTGTCGTCATGGCAGCAGTGCGAAAAGTGTCAATGTGCTTTGGCCCAAAAAGATATTTCTGTGCACGAGGTAAGCTGTCCACCTTCCACAGAAAATTGGGACCATCCATTCATCCTTAACGGAGTTTTGTATAGCACGATAGAAGTCTTCCAAACACAAGGTATGTAACTATTGATATTTTTAATTAATAATAATATAATTTTTATTTACATCTGTCATTAATTCACGGTATTGTGTATCTCATAGAATTGCCCAAACGCATTTCTGAAAAGGACGCTAATGATATGGTATTTGTATCACAGTTCACTTTACAACTGTGCGAGATCGCAATTGGATCACCAACTGTTATTACAACGAAAGATGAGGTAGTTGTGAAAACAGCCTGGCCAACTAATGATAAAAGTTTGACAAGCGTCTCTTTAACAAAACATGGTAAGTGTTTATCTTCAATTTTAATTTTATAATTTTTATAACAGGTTTAGCTGATAAACTAAACTAATGATAATCCTGTTTCTTATTACTTTTAGCCATTGATCTAAATAATCTATCAGGATTAATCAAAATATGTTCCTTGACATCCACTGTCCATATCGCTAAGGAAATTGTAATTAGTCAACAAGGAAAGTGTTTGTCTGATGTAAGTGTGGAATTGGATATTATTCTAAAATATTTTAATGAACACAAAATATTTACTGTGGGTAATAGGATAAGCGTGCCGTATTACGGAAAGAAATTGGTATATAAAATTGTTCAAATCAAAGCAGAGAAAAGCAAGAAAAAGCCAACTGAAACGATGGATGTAAACGATCTATCAAAACCTTTCAAAGATATGAATCTAACATCTACAAAAGTAGATTTCTATAAAGCGCTCTACACAACGAAGTGGACAATTTTGGATAAGGATAAAGAAAATGTTGCAAAGGAAAGGCATAAAATTGAAGATATAGGTGGATACGGCGCTCTTATATCTGATATAAGAGACATAGTGGCAATAGGCATTGGCAAGTATAAAAGTATTGAACGCTTTAATATCTGTAAAGGGATATTATTGTACGGTCCCTCTGGCGTTGGTAAATCCATGATAGCCAACGCTATAATCTCAGAATGTAACGTTAATACGTTTATCGTACACAGTTCGGACATTTACAGTAAATCTGTTGGTGAAACGGAGGATAAGCTCAAAGAAGTGTTCAGCAAAGCAATATCGAGCGCTCCCAGTATAATATTATTTGAAGATGTGGACAGTCTGTGTCCTAAGAGAAACAATTCCAGTACAGATCACGAGAAGAGAGTCCTGACTCAATTAGTAACACTTTTTGATGATCTGCAAAATATTAACAACAATGTGCTGGTAATGGCTACCACTGCAAAGTCAGATCTCGTAGATAGTTCTCTGAGGAGACCTGGAAGATTAGACATGGACTTCGAAATTTATGTACCAACTCCAGACATGCGAAAGGAAATATTGATGAAGCTACTCTCGAAAATTCCCAATACGCTTTCGTGTGAAGATATACAGAATATCTCGTTTGTTACTCATGGCTTTGTTGGCGCGGATCTATATGGTTTGTGCTCCAGAGCGATAATAAACGCTGTGAAATGCTGTCAAAAGAGGACTACATTCGACGATGAACCAGATGATCCAAATGAACTAAAGGTGACAATGATCGATTTTCATTATGCTCTGACCGTAACAAGGCCTTCAGCGATGAAGGAAGTTTTAGTGGAGGTACCGAATGTGAGATGGTCAGATATCGGTGGGCAAGAAGATTTGAAACTAAAATTAAAGCAGTCTGTCGAATGGCCATTAAAACATCCTGAAGCTTTCGTAAGAATGGGCATTACGCCTCCTAGAGGCGTTTTAATGTTCGGACCACCGGGATGCTCGAAAACTATGATCGCGAAAGCTCTTGCTACTGAGAGCAAAGTTAACTTTTTGAATATTAAGGTAAGTCATTCGAAACGTTTATTTATGTCTCCATTGTTACATCGTGCAACTATTTGCAGGGCCCGGAGCTGTTCTCGAAATGGGTAGGCGAGTCTGAGAAGGCTGTAAGAGAAGTATTTCGAAAGGCGAGACAAGTAGCACCATCCATCATATTTATCGATGAAATAGATGCACTGGGTGGTGAAAGAGGTTCGTCTTCCGGTGGTAGTGGAAGTAACGTGCAGGAGCGAGTATTAGCCCAATTACTAACTGAACTTGACGGTGTCACCGCTTTAGGGAACGTCACACTGGTAGCGGCTACTAATCGACCGGATAAAATTGACAAAGTAATATTTCCTATCTTATATAATTGATAAAAGTATAATTAAATATAATATGATATAGAATCAATTTGAAGAACTACTGACTCAACTCTTTTTATGATAGAATAAGAAAGTTCTCTTTATTAACCTTTAGAGGGACTGGCCACTATAATGGCCAACAGAAAACTCGTCGACTCCTAGACATTCAATATATATATAAATTTTATATTAAAAAAATTCAAAATTTTAAGGCAAAAAAATTTTGTCGGTCTTCTAAAAGTTAATAAAAAGACAAAATAAATTTAGCACAAAAATATAAAAAAATAGTGACTTTATATTATGCAGTTATAATCAAAGATACAAAAACAGCTGTAACAACTTTATATTATTACATTAAAATAATTTAATTAATCCCTCAGTTAAATGTTTCTCTCAATATCCAATATTATTTAATATCTTTTTAAAATATTTCTTTTCGTCGATATAGAAATAATTGATAAAATAATTAATAATTTAATTATTTAATGGTTATTTTGTATAAGAAAGTGCAACAAAAAATATTTCAGGCACTCCTCCGACCTGGACGATTAGATCGTATCATATACGTGGGATTGCCAGACGAGAAGACCAGACGAGAAATATTCGAGATAAAATTGCGACATATGAACATCGTAAAGGAAGAAGTAAATATCATGGAACTAGTCAGCCGAACAAAAGATTACACCGGCGCAGAAATTCAAGCGTTATGCCATGAAGCTGCTATGAAGGCGTTGGAGGAAGATATTAACGCTACTCTCGTCACCAAAGAACATTTCGATGCCGCATTTGGAGCCATCACTCCTAGAACGCCCGATTCCCTCATCAAGATTTACAAGGATTATATGAATAAAGTTTTATGAGAATTATACAAGGACTGTATATTTTTATTACGAGAAAAGACGTCGTAAATTTTTTTTTAGATTTAAGTTTTTTTCCTCATTATCCTCCGATTTTTAGAAGAAAAAAAATGAGGAGGAAAAAGTTTTGGGTACAAATTTATAAATTCAACCAGTTATATGAATTTTTATTTATTTTTACAGATTGATTTATAGATTTTATACAATAATTACAAAAGTGCAAGGAATGAATAGAATGTCGTTTTTCACCTGTTCTTACAACTTTGATTACCTATGTCCTCAATATCCCCTTCAAATCCATTTAATGTATTTATTTATTCGTTAAAAATTAATACGCATATATAACATGTACAAATATATCTTGATAAGCTGTAAAAAATATCAACTAAGGCCAACAAGAAATGCAAGACGGGAATGATGGCGCGCGACATAAATTATACGCCTCAAATGTGTGTTCAAAACATCGTATAATTTATTTAAATTTATTTCTCCGATGACGTGGACTACTTAATATGATTCGTTACTGTCGAAACTCCCTGATAACGATGACGATAATGATTAATAATAATAATAGAAAAGTTTATTGCGGACGTAACAAATAAACAGTGAAATATATGTCAAGGGCGGACTCTTCCAATTCTCCCGCCACGCGATTAACCGGATAGCCCGTTGCTTTCGCCGGAACGTTTCGGATGGTACGGTTTATCTGAACGATAATCGAAATAAAATTGCCTGTTGACTTTCGCGCAGAGAGATCGCGTTAATTATTAATCAGCTCAGGTACATATATGTACGTACACGTTGCATGTCTCTATTATAAACTACTATAAAAAAAACCTATTATTTGCGTCATCTCTCTCGCGCTCTTTCTCCTTCTCTGTCCTCAGATGTTTGTCGATCGAATATTTGTGAGTATTTCGCTGTTACAGCCGTTATCGCGTCCCACGTTACACATTGACGGAACTGAGAGAATTATGTGCGTAACAAGGAGGCTGCTCGCTCGTCGGTAAAAAGCAGCAATATATCACTTGAGTGGACAGGATCCAACGACGAAGTTCCTCGGATTTCTTAAAATCGTCGATTTGTGCCATGAGACGTCGTTCCTCGACCCCGAGGAAGGAGAACAGCATTCATTTCGTAGTTCCGTGTTGACAAATTTCTCTTCGAACAAGATAACCTCGCAAAGGACGGATTTTGCCGCAACTTTCTATCCCGTGTACGCTACACTCATTTCATTTCTACCTCTCTGACTGTTAATTGCTGCTGCTAATTAGCGATTGTCGTGAAACGTCATCGTGAGACATGTAAAAGATTTATTGCTTTGGTTGCATCAGTATCTAGTTTTGATACTGTCATAGTGCAAAGTCTCGGAAAATTTATTCCAAGGTTGCAAGGGAAACAGACAATTTTATAAATAATATTGTAACCTTTTATATAAATATCTTACATAAATAATATATGTCTTTGGACAAATATCAATTAAAGTCTATTTAAACCAATAAATTTATTCACAGTTTTTCAGTACATTAATATCTTTTTAATAGGATGCCAGATTGAGTAAATTATTAAATTATTAAATTACTTATCTATTTAATTTGTGATATTACTATAGTAGTTTGAATTTATAAATTTGAAAAATTATTCCAGTACGCATTTCAAATTACATATTTAGCATATAAATTCACATAGAAATTATTTAAAAGCATTTAAAGTCCAGCTTTGACTGTAATAGGCATTAAACTCTTGTTGTGTATTCACATATGTGATCTTAATAAATCGTTTATTATTGTATTATTTATTTAAATCTTTTGACATTTCTTATAGATCATACGTAAAAAACGATTTTTTCACATGTTACTATGACAAATGAATTTATAATATTTCTTTCGGGAGAAAATTATTTGTATTAAGAAAGTTAAATGCATAACATTTTTACAAGATTTGTTAAAGACAATTGCTTATTTATAAACAGCTTTAGTTGATATCATGTTAGTGTTTAAAAAATCAAATTTAAAGTACAATATTGACTAGCAATAATATAGATGATTTTATAAATATTTGTATATTGTCATTTTAATAGATCCTCAAGTAAGATGTCATTGATCGAAGGAGTGGGCGATGAAGTCACAGATTTCTTCATCATCATGACCATACTGTTGGTAGGATGGCTTGCTTGGTGCTCGACAAGTATAGCGGATCAGCCATTGATACGTACAGTACTTATCCTGCGGGACCGAGCGCCTACGCGTATTACTTCAATAAGAGCTAATCATCAGAACACAAGTAATCTTAGTGTCCAAGATGTTAGTCGACCTCACAGGTCAGAAACAGCAGAAGAAGACACACTAGAAACAACTTCGAATAATAGTGATAGTATACAAGCAAATTGTCCAAGTGCAGCTGTAGTAGGTAAATATTTCTTTTTCTCTCTTTTGCGTAAGATATTACTTAAACTTTTAAGTATTACTCAAACCTTTTTTTTTTGTATCGTAATCATTAGATACGAGCGAATTGTCTGAAGATGTCTCGAGACCAACAGAATCTACAACGGCGGAAGAAGTACTTATTGAAGCCATGGATTCGTTCAGCAATACTGATCGATCATTGTTACAAAGAACAGTCAAGACAGATAATATTGACTCGGCATTGGACCAAACTACTAGTAGTTCATCAGAATGTATGTCAGAGGAGTCAACCTTAAGTGATAGCAGCAATGATATCACCATAAAACTGAAGTTTATAAATGATGATCAAAAAATAGTTACAGGCAGTCTTAAAGAAATGCTGGGTGATTTTAAAAGGTATTTCTAGCTTATATGCATTTCTATTGTGTTAGTAAGGTTGTAACAATTTTTACTACGTTCTCACAAAAAATAATCCAAATCTTTAATAACATTGTTTCTTATTTCATGTTTATTATGATTTGTCTTTAGATCTATTTTTTTAATAATTGAACTAGTATACATATTTTTATATTTAAAGTGAAATAGATAAATGTTTAACATGTGATAAAAGTGAAAAGAAAAGTTCTAGTGTAGTTCAATGCAACAAAATAAAATAAATCTTTTTCACTTCGCAGGAGGCACTTTCAAATAGAATTGGAAGCACGTAAAGCGGTACGGTTAGTATTCAACGGCCGCGTATTACAACCTGACACTCAAACCCTCGAACAGTGCGGCTTGTTCAACGATTGCGTGGTTCACTGTTGGGTACATCAACCGCGACCAGCTACCGTACCGTCATCTACGTTAGATAATTCATCGTCCATTTATTTCAATTCCCAGCCGTTTTCGGATCTACCTACCGATGCAGGGATAAGTTCAGTACACAACGACTGGGACTTGAGCCGGCTCCTTGTAAGCCTTCTGACGATCATCTTAGGTCTCGCGTGGTACTCGCGGTATCATTACGCTCAACTTTTCACCGCGACAACCACGCTCGCACTCTACGCGCTTACAGCAATCTTCACGGTATCTCTGTTTAGTAATTTCTTTTCTGATCAAGATAACATTCGGAACGTGGAATGATATGATGACGATGATGACGACGATTACTATGATCCCTTCTAATATGATTACTTCTAAGTTCTAATTTTAATAAAAAAAAGCACCTTAAATACAAATCGATATAATATACATTGTAACGCATATGACGTATACTATGGATTTAACGGAATCAATCAATCGGTAATCTTCGTCGAGTATTTGCTTTTAACGTAATTTAACGTTAATTAACATTCTCGAGATCAGATTTATCGTTGATGATAACGAGCTCATTATAATTTCGTGATTTTTCATCTTGGTGTTACTCTCGAAAATGTAAAACACCGATTGCGATATTTCTATTGATATATATTTCTCTGAATTATAATTAAATTCGTTACATACAAGAGGTGCATTAAGTTATCGCATAAATTCTAGTGTAGCGTTTCTTACAGAAGATTTCAAAAGAAATTTTCTTTATGGTGCATGATAGTAGATGACCTATCCATCACTTCATAATATATTATATTTAAAATATATAATATATAGATTATATGTCTATATAAAGTATATAATAAGTTGTCCTTCGTTAAATTTAAAGTAATTAAATAAAATAATAAGAGTCTAAAATAATCACGCTCGAATGTTATGTTATAATACATAATAATAATACATAATTCTGAAATAATAAATAAAGTTGCTATTTTTTCTCTCTCATGAACTCTGAAAAATGTGATATGATGACATTACTACGTTTCTTAGAAAAAATAACGCGTGACTTTTAAAATTGACTTCAATGTTTAAGAACTATTACACTTTGACAGTCATTCAAGCGTAATTATTATTATCTTTATTCGTTTTACTTCTCGTTTTTTTTTTAAGTTTCGTGTGAAAGATCTTGCATATATAAATATGTTTCGTAAGAAATATCGCTTTGTGGTGTTTACGTTATAAAGTAATTAGGAAATATTCTGTACGATAAAATAAGTTTTTGTGAAACACACTTTTCTTCGCAATATATATATAAAATTCTGAAAGAATATCACTTTTCATTCAGTAAAGAAATAAAATTAATTAATAGTTTATTTCTCTAATTTTTATTGTAACTAACTTTAAATTATAAAATGAGAGAATTATATAGAAATATTTTCTACAGGTAATTACTTAGTAATTATTACTTCGTTTTTTTCTAATACTATTGTATTGTTGGTGCTGTGTGATTTGTGAACGTTTTGATCCGCCGAACTTAATATAGAACTGTTTCACATATTTTTAACGCGTTGATTGTCACGTCATCCAGAATTACATGAAATTAGTGAATTTCACGAAAAAAGCCCAAGAAGCCAAATATTTTCTTTTTGTAATTTATTTTTTACTATTAACGTCATTTGACAGGGCTTCTTTGTTATTTATATTTGAATGTTTGACGCTCTAAAAAAATGGAGAACGCTAATCATGTATTAATAAATTCATATCACGTGATCAACACGTTAAGTATTATGGAAATAATGCGTCTAATAATGCGTGAATTCCAGTTACCATTAGCATAAACAGAGAACTGATTTGAATGAATTTTGTACTAATAAAGGAGAAAGAAAAATTATCCGCGATCTCTAAGACATAGAGCAATCTAGAAGTCGTCTACTTGCGTTATACTTATTTGTACACGAGACATAATGCATAGAATACCAATAAATCAATCTTTTGTAAAAAAAAAAGTTAAATCACTAAATGGACATTCACGTTGAACTCTAGAACGTGCATAAAAATATAAGTTTCACCGAAAATGCTTATGGCATAAAAAGATGAGCGTGATAGAGATATATTATGGTCTCTAACTAGCGTACTATAATTTGTTAAAATTAAATTAATGATTATATTTATACATATATGTATATATATACACACATACACAATTGTTTTAAATAATGCCAATAAATGTTTATTTATTTGATACTTATTTATCATATAGTATAATTGTCCTTGTTTCTTAGTGATAAATATATATGTAAAATTTTGCATATTCTCTGTCAAGATAAATCTACGTTATCAAATTTCAATTACCTATTATTTCTTTTTATACAGTAATCATAAATCATTTTTTATATTGTTCAAAATATAAATATGATAAAAAATGTGGAAAAAACTTGAGATTAAAAATACAGTTAATTTTTTTTATTCTTTAATGTATAAAATAGCAGAACTTTCATGAAAAATATTATATTTATTTAAAATCACGTAATAAGACGTCCTGGCGTATTAATAGTTTATGTATTAAATACCAAATAAATATACCATTAAATTATAATTGCTAATATGCCTCGTAGTAAATATTTTCATTGGCAAAAGAAAAAAAAATAATTAACTAACTACACATCTTTCATTTGATCTCAACAAATACGATGTCATCTTTTTAGAAAATTACAAAGAAATAACAACATTACAAGATATAATAATGCTGATTTACTAGTTCCTGTTTTCTTTTATTTTCAATTTTACATAGAAAAAATCGCAAGTCCACGGAAATCGCTTTTCATACATTGAAAAAATATATTTAAAATTTCTATCATTTGTTTATTGATCTCACTACTTCCAACCATTGTTTATTGAACATATTTTTCTCCACTGGCGTATCATCCAGCGTTCTGATAATTTTTTCAGCATGAAGATACATATCATACGAACAGCCATATATACCAAATACCAAATCAATCTCCTGTTTCAAACGTTTATATGTGAGAGGTCCAAGTTGCGAATTATATAAGTAAATCTTATCCTTTGAGGACGCGCCATATCGTGGTTGCATATTCGAAAGTATTACGTTGACGTAGTTCGTAGAAGGTTGCGATTTCGATGACGTCGTGCTGCCTTCCTGTGTTAACGTATGATTAGTCGATGTTTTGACCAACACGAGCCTCATATCCATATCCTTGATCTTCTGCATCTCCTCAATAATGATATCGCTGTTGCGCGGCAACTCCATCATGTCTTTCTGCGGAGTCTTGGTCACGTTCTCGATAAACTCCTTATGACTGACGATGACCTTCGCCAAGTTGCTGTTCGCGTCTTTGATCTCATAATACGCGATGGCTTCGTCGGAGGGCACGAGTCGTGCTTTCTTCCGCAGCTTCTGCACTCGATTGATTACCTCACGCGCTATTCCCTCGTTGTGCATCGCCTCGTCAGCAGTAATGTCCACAAGGATTAGTATGCTTCCCTCGCTGTGAGCTTCGTACTGTTTCGATAGTTGTTCGGCGGCTGGACCAGTGAAGCTGAACATCAGACGCAAGTCTTGCTCCTCGAGTTTGTGACCCTGCACGACGATTTCTTTCGTGGAGACAAACTTCTGCAGCTGTTCGTCGGACAGCTCTTTAATGGCTTGAATTATCTGTTTGAACTCGCCCTTTAAACGAGCACCAAGTGTCTTATGATCTGGTTCTGCTCTCAGGGTCACACCATACTTCTCCTTGTCAGTAGTAACGATTAATTTTTTGATGTTGAGTTCTTCGAGTATGTACGACTTTAGTGAGACAATGTCCCTTAGTACTTTATCATCTCGATGGATCACCACGATTTCCGGCAAGGGATATTTTGTGGGAATAATTTTTCTATCGCGTACAATACGACCCAGTTGAATGACTGACTGCATATGCGACACAGCCTTCTCTATGTCTTTGTTAATCATATGATATTGCGGATGTGGTATCAATTTCCAGTGCACACTTTTGTCAAAATTTTCAAAATACTCTCTAAGTTCTTTAACGTTATGTACGTTCCACTCATTTATTTTCTTCATGAATTCTTTATGCTTCAACTTTAAAGCCTTCTCTTCATCCGTAGGCTCAGGACGAGATTCAAAATCAGACCGATTACTCGGCTGGTATTTGAATGTCTTTGTAAAATTCTCAATATACGAGCAACCATTCTTATTAAAATTCTTAGGCAAATCATCATTTGACGTTATGATGACCCATTGGTCTAATCGCATAAACATGAATTCCGTCAAGAATGGCGTGAATGGCGCGTAAGTTTGCACCATCGTGTAAATTGCTAGAAATAGAGTCGTCAATGCATTATCGCAATCCTCCAGACCGTCTTCACCTTTGATACGTTTTCTATTCATTCTCACATACCAGTTTGTGAGGTTGTCAATATACTTTATTAAATAGGGCACCACGGTGTACAATCTATATGCTTCCATCTCTTTCTTCACAAAGATCAACAGCGATTGAGTGATCGACATAATCCATCTGTCCATTATATTGTTGGAATAGGATTCTTGACCTTCGGTGATTACAAATCTGATCCCAGACTCCTGGTATTGGTCAATATTCTGCATTAAGAAACGAAATGCGTTATACCACGGCAAGAAGACGTCCTTGACGATGTCCCGGACACCCTCCTCCTTAAACTTAAGGTTCTCGGCTCTCACGACTGGCGAATTGATTAAATAAAGACGCAGAGCATCCGCCCCGTATTTGTTGACCACTTCCATGGGGTTGGGATAATTTTTCTTACGCTTCGACATCTTTTGGCCGTCAGACGCGAGTACTAGACCATTGGCCACGAGGTTTTTATACGGCGCTTTGCCAAACAGCGCGGTGGATATCACCAGAAGCGTGTAAAACCAGCCACGCGTCTGATCAATACCCTCAGCGACGAAATCTGCCGGGAAGATCTCATCAAATTCCTTGCGATCTTGATTGAATGGAAAATGGACCTGCGCGTACGGCATGGAACCGGACTCGAACCAGCAGTCGAAGACTTCAGGTATACGACGCAACGGCGGTTGTCCCGCACGTTTCGACGGTATTGTCAGATGATCGATGTTCTCGCGATGGATGTCCTCCACTTTTGCGCCCGTCAATCTTTCTAGCTCCTCCATGCTGCCCACGCACACGATCTCCTCCCTATCCTGCTGATGGCCCAGTCGCGCGCATCACGCAGCCAGTTGCCGAATCGTTTTTCCTTCACGAAATCCGGCACCCAGTAGGTCTCACTATTTGCCACCAACAACTTATTCTTGATCGCCTCCACCTTGAGGAACCAAGAGGGCACAGCTTTGTAAATAAGCGGCGTGTCTGTTCTCCAGCAGAACGGATAGCTATGCTTTATTGTGCTGTTGACAATCAGCTTCTTCTTAAGCTGCAAATATTTTATTATCTCTTTGTCTGCATCTTTGACATACTTGCCGAGAAAGTCGTGAACCGGCTCCGTGAAACAACCGCAACTATCCACGGGGCATACAATCTCTTGATCCTTGCATATGATGCCGGCCTCTAGGCAACATCGAAAATCATCCTCTCCGAAATACGGGGCTTGATGGACGATGCCGGTTCCAGTTTCTGCTGTGACGTAAGTGTCATTCAGGACTCTGAAAGCACCTTTCTCTTTATGATGCAAAAAATATGGAAACAATGGTTCATATGCCTTTCCTTTCAGGTCTGTGCCCTTTATCCTGTCTATTATAATATAAGGACCCTTAAGGATTTGCAATTGAGCCTCCAATATGATATAAATGTCACTAGTCTTCTCATTTTTTACCTTCACATATTCAAAAGTAGGATTGACACATAATGCCAAATTACTAGGTAGCGTCCAAGGAGTGGTGGTCCAGGCCAATAGAGACACCCCTGGTTCATCCAGTAGAGGAAAAACTATGACGACCGATGGATCCACTACATCCTTATAATTTTGACCTGCCTCAAAGTTGGACAGTGGCGTGTTACAGGCAGTAGAATAAGGCATTACCTTGATACCTTCATAGATGAGGCCCTTGTGGTATAGCTGCTTGAATATCCACCAGATGGACTCCATATACCATGGATACATGGTTTTGTAGTCATTTTCAAAGTCAATCCACCGTCCCATCCGGTCGACGATCTCCTGCCATTCCTTGGAATATCTCATCACGATTTTACGACACTCTTCATTGTACGCTTTGATACCCATCTTGGCGACATCATCTGGCCCTTTGATGCCTAATTTCTTGTCAATCTCATTCTCCACGGGAAGACCGTGGCAGTCCCAGCCAAATCGACGCTCCACATGATAGCCGCTTTGATATGCGTACCTCGTCACAATGTCCTTTATAGTACCAGCGAGGATATGGCCATAATGCGGAAGGCCGGTGGCAAAAGGTGGCCCGTCATAGAATGAATACTTTGGCCATTCTTTCCTAGTAGATAAATTCATGCATTCCAAATATACACAGTGAGCCGTCCATAGTTTTAATATGTTCGCTTCCTGCTCGGCGAAATTGATGGTCTCCGGAATACTCAATTTTGTGAAACGTAGTAACTCTTCCCTATTCATAAAAGAATAGTTTCTGACGATATGAGTCATCTTTGATACAACGTTCCGTACCGGCTGGAGGAATCGTGGCTCACACGAGGAGCTGACGCAATTCGGCACAACCTTGTCGCTAACCTAACAATGTGTCTTATTATTATTATTATTTATTGGCCTTTCACATTCATAAGGAGATAATACGGTTAGATTACGTTACAAAAGTTCGTCAAATAACTTTTTAAATATTAAACTTATCTTTAAACAGGAGAATCAAGTTAATAATAGTTAAGTTCAGCACAGTTTTTCAGCAGACTCGACAATTGAGTGAGTATTCGCTGCTATTGATATATTCTTCTAGATCTAATATTCTGATTGGATGATCTAAAAGAATATACCAATAACAATGAGTTCTCACTTCCTGTTGAGTCTATTGAATATCCCTTAACGCGGGCACCAACTTCCTAGGAATTTACATGCGCACGCGTAAACGTGTGATTGAAGATTCCGTACACACTAGGCCTGTTCGCATTGCATGAAATCCCCAAATATTGTTGCACTTAAAATGAGATAGATATATATTTGGCTTTGAAAAGACAGAAAGCGAAGATACCGAATGCAAAAAGTGTGAGCAATGCGAACAAACCTATGGATTAGCTATCAGAAAGAAAAATCTTCAGACAGCGAAAAATCTCTATCCAGGGACCAATTAGCACACTTGAAATACTTGTCAGTACACGTGAATAAATCGAGAACACGTGCCAAAGCTAACCTCAAGAACATAATCTTGCGTCTGGGAAAAATGCAAAAAAATGATATATTAGGTGTAGTAAAAAGAAATCCATTATTCTTACTACACCTAATATTAATATGAGTTTTACTTTAATTTACATAATTATTATTTAACAGATAACCTGTGTATTTTAAAGAATGCATTTCCGAAAATTCATACAAGATAGTAGGAAAATTTATGGTGGGAATTTCAAAATAATTTTTCCCCTTTAGACATTTTTTTCAGTATTCTAAATATGAATAGAATTTTTTTTTTTAATGTTATTGTATTAACATGATTTATATGTTTTCATATATACTTACAATTAAACATTAAAATATTGTTAAAGTAATTATACAATATTTATTAATATACAATATTTGGTATTATAAAGCAAATCTTTTCACACTCTCTTGATCTTCGCTGATTTAAATACTGTAATATATTAATGTAACATGGCAGTTATATTCTAATAATTAAGTAACAAATGCCAATCTTAGAGATAGAAAGGTAAGTAATACTTTAAAAAGAGCGAGAGATTTATACCCGTTTCAACCAATGTAAATTAATTTTAATCTTAGTTCAACTCACTCATTTTTTTCTAATTCTTAAAACTAGAAAAAGATGAAGAATAAGTTAAATCAAGATTAAAGTTAATCTATTTGATGGAATTAATGTTTGATATACATAGTATCAAAAAATGATAGTAGTAAAAACCTTTATATATCTAATTCTTAAATATCAACTATTAATTTCTTTGGACTACAGGAATGTTTCGTTCGTTCGTTCAACTATAAAATTCGTTCAAAATCTTACAGAAATTATGTGGAAGCTACATATGCATATGTATAACATAGAAAATAAAGATATTTACAATATTTTGTCATTTTAAATAGATATATATCATAAATATATCACTTGATATAAGTTTGACTAGATATCGAAATATGTAATGCAAATTCACGATTGATGCATGACATGCTGTACCCTTTGTTGGCGCTGACCGCCAACATATATCACTTGTCTCGGCTCATCCGGATGAATGAGCTCGTCCGTGTGTTTCCACTGCCATTTTTTTTCGCTCTCTTTCACGCGTCTATGATCAATGTAACTGATAACGCAACTCGCCGGTATCCATATAACGGCAGTGATGATTATCACAGCACCTACTATATTATCTTTCAGAAAGCGCATAACTTTGTTGATGTTTATATCCTCAATAATGTCCCAAAATCGTTCTACTACGTCCTGAATTGTTTTCTCACAAACACCCTAAAAAGGTATATGCTTGTAATATATTAGACAACAGAAATTTTATCAAATTAATTACTATGATATATCTTACTTTGTTGCAAAAACCTTGAATGCACGGTGTCCCATCGGGTAAAATGTCTTGCTGGTCTATTGGAAAGCACGTCTCGTTCAAATTCATTCTACAGCATCTCTTACACGCATCAGCAACTATTAATAATGATTATATCTTTCAGTACAAAATTAATTATATAACGTAAGATATCAATTCTAAAAACACTTAGTCTTTTGACTTTCTCTCAATAATCATAAAGATATCTTTATAGAATAATATACAAATTTTTAATTTTGAAATCAGAATAAAATATAATACAAGATTAAAAATTTTAAAAATAGCAATTGGTTTTTCATTAATTGCACAATTAATAAGCATTTTCTCAAATCAACAGTAAAATTGTAGAAATAAATTATATTAAATATTAATAATTAAAGAAAAACAAGAATTACTTTTCTTTCTGATATGAAAAAATGATGAATTAACATAATGAAATATTTCCATTTACATTTGTAGGTGTCCAGTATTTAAAATAAAGTACGTACTAGTATCGCACATGCAGCTTTGTAAATTTTGAGTCTCGCAGTATGGTACGCATTTGCCTAGACGGCATTGACCACGTTCGAGACAATCAGTGCCGTCTTTCATGGGCGGAGATCTCGGGCATTCGCTAGACGCACCAGTGCAGCGCGATTCCTGTTCGCAAGTAGCATATTGCGCATCACGGCATTTTACGCCCGCAGGCATATATGCGCAACCCTGGCAGCAAGGAGAGTTTTTGTCACTGTTGGAAGAAACAAAACGAGCGCCATTAAATAATGTTGAATATAGCCTAAGGATTTTTATTGTAAAAAGTGAAAGAAAAAATAGATACGTAGGTATGATTCTAGATGGCTTACCTGCAAACTGCTCCTTGATTACTTCGAAGCTTACAGTTTTTGTCGCAACACGAGTCATTGTCTTCTGTTCCCAAGAGACCTGCGTCGCATTCCTCGTCGCCCTCGACTCTCAAATTACCACAGAATGATTCTTCTGGCTCTGAGAAACAGCGTCCAGATTTAGCTTGCAGGACCTTCCTGATGGATCGTAAACTACATGGAGAAAATCTCTAGGAAAAAAAACGTAAATCTATAAAAAAAGTGCAAAAAATAAATTTAAATATAAACATAGTAAGATAAAATATTGATTCCTTATTTAAAAAATAATTAAGATAATGATTCGTGATAGGAACTACAATATGAATCAAGCATATACTCCACCTTGTTATTTACATCATAGCCACTAACACTGTAGGTATACATTAAGTAAGATCCACCTTGACTTGCACTTGGACTGCATTCCTACACACAATAATATCATTAAAATTAAATTTTAGCTTTAAGAATTATGAAAAAAGAAAAGTTTGTGAAATAAAGATATTAGTATAAAAACACATTTTAAAACTTAATATATATAAGATTTTATATGTTTTTAACAAAAACTTCCTTTGTGACTCATGACTCTTTTTTTTCTTTACTGTTTAAATTCTTAGGTTTATTATATGAATTATTTAATGTTAATTTCATCAAGTCTCAGAAATAACTTGCAATATATAGAGATATTTAAATTATAACTCACTGAGATATCCGGATCATGCTCGGAACCCCAATTATGACCGAATTCATGTGCTGTAACCAAATCGGCTTCTCTTGTAATCACTCTCTGTCCATAATGATTTCTACTGGAACTCAATCCCGAATTCAGATATAATGTATATCCGTTTTTGAAATATTCTACAGAATATCAATTTTTTTATTCAATTATGAGATCCAATATCATAAAAACATCACTACATATTGTATATAATATTAGAGTAATATAACACAAAGAATACAAATTGTTTTTAATGTACCTGGTGTGCAAATACCGCCCACCGAATTTCTACGAGGAGATCCTACATAGGCTAATCCGAGGATACCACCTTCGAATTTGAGATCAGTAAACAAGTGAGCCAAGCAGAAATCTTTATGGCTATATTCTCGACTGAACACCTGTATTAATTAATATATAATATCATGAAAAAATGATAATTAATTTCAATGTTGCGTTGTTAAATTAACAATGTTAATTTAACAAGCCAATTATATTAAAAAATTGATTGATAATTAAAGCAATTAATTTTAAAGATATTATTCTTCAAGCTGCATGTAATAACCTCGAGCAATGTACGGACGTCCCATTTCTCGCGAACCATATTGTAATGTGTTTCACCACCTCTTACTCGTGTCGGTTCACTGTGAACGACGATCTTTTTAATAACAAAACCCATTCCTTTGAAACCATCTTCCTCTTGATGCTCTTGCCACAAAGTGTCATTGTAAATCTTATGTACTCTATCAATCAAACTTATCTGTGGAATAAGTTAATATATTATAAATAAATATATTATAATTGCATACCGTTACGCTTACCAGATAATTAATTGTAGTTTTTGTACTGCTGGCGCCCATTTCTTGGTAAAACCGATAATCGGCGACTAGTAGTAATGGGCATCTTGTTTTTGTTGGTGTATATTCGTAAGTCTCTGTTTGCCTTTTTACCCTACTACTGCTATTATCCGTTTCTGTATCATCCTCCTCAGAATTGTCATTTAAAGTATAATCTGTGGCAAAAAATAATATCAATGTTGAGAATAATAGAAAAGGCAAAATACATTATATGTTATTTTATAAAAAAAATTGTATATTATCTATATTTATAAATAGAATCATACTTATATCTTCTTTAACATAACCACAGGTCTTTGGAGTTCCATGTGTATGACCTTCTCCATCTTGATAATGCTCCCAACTGAGTTTGACATCGGAAGATTTATAAATAATCATCGTTTGATTATCTAAATGAGAAAGATGCCTCCAGGATGGCTAAAACATAAATTCATTTCTTGATTATAGATAACAGACAATCTGTTCAAATAATCAAGTGTGACAAAAATATGATAGTAAATTATGTAATTAAAAAATTAGATAATTTGTAATTATCTAATAAAATGCAATTGTCTCAAACTTTTTAAAATTAATTTTTTTAAGCTTTAATTAATTCGTTGTTTCTTATTGTCTACTCGGATAATTTACAACCATATCACAAACTTTTAGGTATTATTTGGCTTGGCAGATATACTTACTTCAATATGGAAAGTTTCATCCAAGATTGTTATACTACCTGTCATGATACCATCATCAATATGCATCTGAGCATGAGACTCAATTTCTCCAAACACTCGGCCGTGATAAAAATTATCATGATCTATGGAATAATACTATGAAATATGCTTATTTGCTGCTTTGTCAAATTATACCATACCTAAATGTACGGTTTTCTCCTTTCCATCAGCATTGACTTCATATGCCTTGAAATTGGAATGTATAACTTCTCTTCTAGGTGTTAAAATTAATCGAAAATGGCTGTAGTTGGAAAAGATTAAAAGAACATTAATAAAATGGAGAGAATATCTCTTGTAATATATTAAATAATGTAATAATTAAATATCTTACCGCCCATGTGAATGAAATTCTAATTCACTTATTCTGTTATATGGATGATAGCTATGGTGAATACCCCGTTTTAAAATCCTATGTTGAAAGTGAGTACTATGAATTGTTTCATAATATTTCAAGCTTCTGTGAAGTCCATCTAATAATGTTTTAATAATATTAGATAAAAGAACAACTGATATAATTGCACAAGTCGATTTGCAATAATAACAAAGCCAATTTTCTCAATAAAATCACAATTTCGTAAAATTATTTTAGTAAGATATTAAAACCGATTATGTATTTTTTAATCATAAATAAATAAACATTAAATATATTTTATCAAGATTTAGTTAAAAAAAAGTTATTAAATCTTTTAATATAATTACAGAAGAAATAAGATTTTGAAGAAAAAGTATTTAGTTCTGCTTATTTAAACTGAAAGGATGTCCTTTTCAATGGAGATAGAAAAGATAGAAAAGATTCGACGCATACAGATTTTTTCCTCAACTTTAAATGAGGGATTTCAATTTTTTCGTGCTGATCGCGAATCAACTTGTGGGGTACTAGTTAAAAAAATGACAGTATAATTGGGATAAGTTTAACTTACAAATACTTTGAAGAGTAAGAAAAGTGCAGTAGATAAATAGAACGTTTCGTTTTTCCATTGTCAGTGAAAGGAATTAACAATGGAATGTAAATAGAAAAGCACAACTTTCTCTTGTTTTTTTTTAATGTTTACAACCTTATTAACAATAATCCACGACGTCGTATCACAATTTTGTGAGCACTTTGGACACAATTTATGGCATAATAACGTGAATGAGAAGCGCAAAATTGTATTATGACAAATCATCAAAGTATCGTTTCTTTATTTACATTTGTCATGATGACAACGGATGATAATCAACACGCAACATAGGTTATGTTCTGTCATAACTCCGATTTTCCACCATGACTCCGATCTTCGATAGAGAGTCGAGTGAGCGAATAAAACGATCCTCATTCGAGTTTCTCGATTTCTGAAACCGCCGTCGAGATACTTAAAGTTTTTAAATTTGAGTGATTGAGTAAGAAATTAATGATATAATACTAATTTTGTGATTTATTAGTTTTATAGATATGCATATATACATATAAAACTCAATAATATTCGATTTTTATTTAAAAATGTGATTTTAATGATATTGTCCGAGTTTGATTATCAATTAATATTTAAATAATACACATTATTAAATTCGTGATTTTTATTATATAAATGCTTTATAAATAAATATGTTTATAAATAAATAAATAACTTATAATGTATATAATATATATTTTATATATTGCCGCAAAAATTACAATTTTTTTTCTACAGTTACCATTTCTATTAATAATTAAACTAGAACAATAACATAAAAATTGCTTTCAATAAAAATCGAGTATTATTGAGTTTTAAATATACACGTTTACGAAACATCAGGATATAAATCATATACTAATAAATCATTAAAAAATTAGTACTATATTATCAGTTTCTTACTTTTAATTATTTAAATTTTTACACGGACTTTTATTTTAAACTTTTCACGAAAAAAAACTAGGATGACCGATCTCAAGTTTATCCATAGTTAATGCCATGACTGTCCATACAAAAGTTTAGCGCGAAAATCGAAACGCATGCGCAAACAATGCACTGCGCAGCTCAGCTCGGCGCAACCGTTGATGCGAAAGTTTTATCAGAAATGATCAGAAATGAGATATTCGTGCATTACATCATATTGCATTCAATTTTCTTGGCTGTTTCCCGCGCATTTGTTGACGCGTCCTGGATGTAAACTTATGTAAAGGTACGCTGATTTCGAATATTTTTGAAGAATATTAGTGCACATCATTCGCACGTTGAAAGTCGTGTTATTATCAGTAACCGAAAATCTTCGACGTGCTCGATAGAATTGCTTTTTCGAATTCACCGGTTTGTTTAGGTTAGTGTGTATGAAAAATACTTTTTCCAATTTCTTCTTTAACATTTATGTAATTAACTGTCACAACAAATTCGATCATTTGCACTAAGTACTTCAAATTTATATTAAAAACGAAGTTTATATTAAGATCCGTTATATATGAAATTAGCGAAGCTATATGTAAAAGCATATTAAGCATTTTAAACAATAAAATATTCAGTAATGATATCATTACGTTATTCAAAGGAATATGTATATATTATTTTTAAATATGTATATATTATTGTTAAAGTTGATTATGCTATTGCATTTATTTTTTATAAAGCTATTACCTTTTTAAGTCTTATTACATAGGATTAAGTTATTTGTGTTCTGTGTATTTCTTTTCTTTGAAATACTGAGAAGACCAAGTAATTATAACATTTATCTATAATTTCTTCAACACACAATCTTAAAAATATCTTCTGAACATGTTAAAATTGTGAAAATTGCACTTGTGAAAATTACTTAATTTTTGTATATTTATGAAGGTGATGAAAATTAACGAGTCATCATATGTAATAAAAGATCCTATAATAATAGAAACACTAAAGACTGGAAAATCATTATGTGTACTAAGAATTAAATATACACTAATTCAATGTAATGCAAATGACTGAATTTATCAATGTTTGTTAATCTTATGCCTCAAAATTTGATAAATACATGTCATAAAATTTTAAAAGTGAATTCTCTTTAATTTTTCATCATCTGTATATTTTCATCTTATCAATAATAGTGATTTTAATCTTTTTGCTGTCAGAGTTAATTTAATTTAGATTTACTTGAGAAATCTTGATGTTATTCTGATCTTAAAATATTTATTTCAGATTGAAACTTTAGAGAGTTATTAGACAATGGATAGCACTCTAGGAAAGTTACTTTGTACTCCGCGGCGGGCACAGAAATGTCTCTTTGCACCGTTCAGTGATAAGTCTGCTAAAAAGAGCGTTTCTCAAGATTCAGAGCATATTAGAGATGACAAGTTCTCAGAAGATGAATCAGATTTAGGACCCATGTCACCTTTGGCTCTTACTGATCGAAGTCCAAGTATCAGTGATCAGAGTTCCTCAGGCAGAGAATTTGTATCTCCACTCGCAACACCTGAAAAGTCAATCATCTTCAATACATCTGTGTCCTGGGATCGTTTAAGATTCAGCACAGAGGAACGCATGTCACCCTTTAAGTCACTCAAAAAGGTCACCAGAGAGGCTAGAAATTCACCAAGATGTAAAATGTTCTCTGCTAGCCGCTTTCAAAAATCGTTGCCATCCACTCCAAGGGAACTGATGGGTCAGTTGACACCACAACGCTCGAAGACAAACATGGAACAGATGAACGGAATAGTACCAGAGACACCTCAGCGAAGCTTCGCCACAGAAATACAGAATCAAAGTATCACAGAAACACCTCGAAAGGGCAGAACTCCTGAGAGTAAGCAAACAACGCCGTTGAGTTCTGTAAGCAAAACGGTTCCGTTGCCAAAGTTGCATAGACGAAAGTCTTTTAGCACGATTGAAACAAGCGTGGATTTCTCGCCTGAGCAGAAAGAGAACACATTAAAGAGGCGTGCGCGCGAGCAGTCGGGGCCGAAACCAACGAAACTGTTTAAGGGAGACGACGACTTCGTGCCTAAAGCGAGAGCATCATTGTTTCAGGAGAGGAAACACGAATACAGTAGCCTAAAGGATTTCTCATTAAGTACGAAAACATTTTACAGTGGTAACATGAAGTCCGAGCGGCCTTTCAGCAGTTACAAGAGCAGCGACATTAAAAGGAGACGAAGTTTACCTTCACAAAACAATAGTAAACGTTCATCGACGAAGAAGCGGAGATTTGGTAAGATAAACGCTGGTGTAGGCCATGGAATCAAAAAGCCGAAGCCTAAGATGAATACAGAAACATTAAAGAATGAGGGACAGCATATTGCGCAGAGTCTCACAGCTTCAAGAAAGAGTCCGCCTGTAGAAAAAACTCAACCGATGGAGGCAAACATGATTGCGGAAAGGGCTCCGTCGCCAACAATCGATGAGAATAAGCGATTTTTTAAAACCAACAGGACGATCAGATCAAATCAGGCAGCTACGATAACGGTGAATGATAAGATTAAGTTGAAGGTCGCGGGTGGTAAAATTGAATTAAAAGAGAATCAGAAACGCGTTCCATTCACGAATGCACATAAGCAAAAGCTGAAAACCGTGAACGTCTCTCTAGATGCCACTGATCTAACCGTTGACGAACCGGAAGTTGAAGCTACATTGCATCAAGACAAAGTTAATGATCTCCTGAGAATTCTAGAGGATGACTGGGCAAACGATGAGTACGATACGATGACATCATTGACTCATATAGCGAATGCGTTTTCTCCATTACAATCGACAACGATGTTGTCGAAAGATACAATTATGTCTCCAGCTACCGAGCTTAGCAACATGACTTCGACAATGAACATTACGGACGCTGCTCCTTTGAATAACTTTGGAAATCTTTCACTTGAGAACGCTAATAATAGTAATAATAATAATAATAATAATGAAAAGGAAACCGAAAAAGAAATCGAAGAGGATACCGAAAAAAGATATTTTCCGTTATTTACCAAAGGATATTCTGTACCTGACAATATTTTTGAGTACGTTCGTGAGTTATAAATTTCGAATCTTACATTTATCTATAATATTTTGACTTGCGCAAAATTATATCTTTTTGCTCTTCTATCATATTAATTTTATATATTATTCTGTTATCATATGTTAATTTCTTAATATTTTAATCTCATTTATATAATTTATATTTTTTAGTATACGATTGTCTTTTTGAAAAAATATTTTAAGTCGTGCAAAGATAATTTCAAAAATTCTTTAAATTTGTTTTAACGAGATGCATATTTTAACTTCTGTTTTAGAGAGACAAGTAATGCTAAAATTACAAAAGCAACAAAAAAAAATATGCAATGGCAGATATCCGCGAAAGGTGGTGGTGCAGAAGATCAGTATCAGCTAGACGCTGGTCAAAAACGTTTCGGCGCCACTCAGTGTCCGGAATGTAATGTTGTGTACCAAGTGGGCGATGCTGAGGATGAAAACTCTCACTTGAATTATCACAATAGCGTACGAACTTTAAAATTCAATGTACGTTACATTTGTGTCTGTAAAGTAAATACTATATTTCACTACAGATACTATATTTAAATATTTTTGTTACGCATATTTCAGGGTTGGAAGAACGAACGTGTTATATTGGAAGATCCTTTTACCTCCAGCAGAATAATCTTGATTGAGCCACATGACCCCAAGCAACATTGGAAGAAAGTGTTGGAAATTTTGGCCGTTGTAGATAGGGATTTGGGACTGGCAGACATGAATATTTCGGATTATCAGAACAAAAAGGCAAGTATATGCTATCTTATTATTTTTACCGTACAAACATTTATGTTTTACAAATACATTATTTTTATCGCATACCATCGAATTTAATAAGAAACAATTTGATAAAAATGCATTTTTTGCAGATTTTCTTGTATATACGAGAGAAAAATGTTCTCGGAGTATTGGTGTCAGAACACATAAAAACAGCGTTTCGCATGATTCCTGAACTAATTGAACTTAACTGTTGCACCGCAGAGAGTACACCTACGAAATGTGGCATAAACGTCGTCTGGACTGCGATGAGTCATCGCAAACGGGGTATAGCCACTAAACTTGTCGATACTTTGAGGTAAATTGCACATTAACATATACATGTCGACTTTCTTCGAAGAAGTCTTGCATTGTTCAAAATATCTCTTCTCGTTTTAGAGCCAAATTTTTCTATGGTTACGTGATGTCGTTGGACGATATAGCGTTCTCAATACCGACTCCGAGTGGTAAAATCTTCGCTGAGAAATACACGAGAACGAAAAACTTCAAAGTTTACAACTGAATCCACTTTACTTAAGCTCCAACATTCGTTCTTTCTAAATGGTTGCGTCTGTTTGCATTGTTAGCGAAATAGCTACTTTTAATACATTATACATCTTATTTTATCATATTTTATCTTGATAGTTATGTATTTTTGTGAAACTTTTACTTAGATGTTGATACAAATGAAACAGAGGTTTCTTGAATTTTATGAATCAATTTGAATGAATTTGTTTTTTTTTTTATTTGAAGTGCTATATTTTATTATAATTTCAAATCTAACGCAATACTTTTTTTTATAATAAATTTGATATATCAGAAGATATAAAATCGATTGACTAATACATACAAAATTACTTTTAGAAAAAGTTAAGTTACAATTAAAATTATTATGTTCTCATAACACATTTTTAGTGATGCCATCTCTGATGAAATATATATTCTTGCTACTCATTTGCGTATTTTTTATGTAACATATGAATAATATATTTATTTGTGTTATATATCTAAAATAATCTGTGTTGTGGATCAAAAAATAAATATGAATTGACTAATTTTAAGAAAAAAAATATTTTCATTAACCTCGAATATCGTAAACATAAACAATCTTTTGAACAAATATAAAATATGGTGTGTAGAGAAAGAACTTACATGAGAAACAAAAGATATGCTAATTATTAGCACATTTAATAATAATACTTTGTAGTACAAAATTATATTTCGCAATTAATAACTAAAAAAGTATAGTTAAATGTCACTGATTTACAGTGCATTCTTAAGCGTTGCAAGCATTTTTTTAATATTAATATTTCAATAAGACAGTTATAATAAATCTTAATCTAAATGTATAGTTAATTTTGACAATCAATAAGAAAATAAAGAAAAGGATTACTATTTTGTTTTATGAAATTAGTCTTTTCGAAATTGTATGGACTAAAAATAGTATCACAATGTGTACGTGTTAAATTTGATTATACTAAACACAATGTAACCTAAGTCCTAGCATCATTAATTAATCATTTTACATCCTACGATAGCCGCGTCTACCGCCTCTGTTGCTTCTTCCGTATGGATCTTCTTGTTCTTTTTTCTTTTTCCATGCATCATATCTTTCAGCCATTTTATATATTTCCTCAGGTACTTCCTGAAATAAAAAGTACAAATTGGTGGACTCTGCTACATAAAATTGATAAGAATTAAAATATTCCTTGTATATCTATTAACCTGATTAGCCTCTTCAAGAATATCAATGAGTGCTTTAGCATGGTGCCAGTCCTGTCTTGTCATAAAAGTGATACTTTCACCTGTTCGACCTGCGCGTCCAGTACGACCGACTCGGTGAACGTATTCCTCTATATCCCGTGGGAAGTCATAATTCAATACGTGTCTAAAATGAGGATAAAAATATATTGATGTCATATCTTGAATAATGTAATGTATTAGTATGTAAAAAACTTACGTAATATCTTCAATATCGATTCCTCGACTAGCCACGTCGGTCGCAAGAAGGATCTGAACAGCTCCAGTCTTCAGATCTTCTAATGCTTGTTCTCTATCTGATTGATCTCTATCACCGTGAATACTCTGACAATCGATATTCGTTAAAGCCAGATCACTAGAGACATCGTCCACTTTTGATTTCTTACCGAAAAATACTATGACCTTATCTTGAGGACCCATTTCTTGGAAGAACTGATGCATCTACAATACATTAATGATAATAATGAACTAATATATAATATAACATTTTCTAAATAATTTGCAGTCAATTTTGTATAAACATATGTGAATATCACTAACCATATCTGTTTTCTCGTCTTCATTAGCCATGTAAATCCTCTGTGTTACAGAATGAACAGCTGCCAAGTCAAGCGATCCAACAAATACTTGAATCGGATTTTTCATGTATGACTGAGCTAAGCGTCTTACACCCTGAGGCCATGTAGCGCTGAAAAGGATAAGTATCATATTAGATAATATTTATTAATTATAATATAATATTGATATTATACATGAATTTTTAGATGAACTATATATTTTGAACTATTTTAGAGAGAGGTACAAATCACTTATTTAAAGAAGTAACATATCTAATAAATTTTATAAATAGAAATAAAAAAAATATATACTCTAAACGGACAAAAAATTATTATGATTAAATTTTTTTTCTTTTCTTTAAAAGAATTCCATTTTTAAAAGTATTAAGAATTTTTTAAAAATATACCTTGTCATAACAGTTTGTCTATTTGGTCGTACACCTAGAAGAGTCTTACGAATTTGAGGTTCGAAACCCATGTCCAACATACGATCTGCTTCATCGAGTATAAGATACGTCACAGCCGACACATCCAATACATTTGCTTGAACCAAATCGTTTAATCTTCCGGGAGTTGCAATTACAATTTGCACACCTTTTGTCACAGTGTCTATTTGCGTTTTACGATTTCCACCACCATATACGCACACCCTTAAATAATTTACAATCAAAACATTATGAAGAAATTAAAAGATATAAGTACATATTATTCGGAATAAACTTACGCTTTAATTCCATGATAAGAGTATTTTCCTACTTCCTTTTCAATCTGCAATGCCAATTCTCTTGTCGGAGCCATAACAAGAACATTTGGCCCAGTACGTTTGTCGCGTGGAGTTACTTGCCCATCGATGTGAATCAAAGCAGGCAGTAAAAAGGCAAGAGTTTTTCCTGAAATTATATAATTATCCTCTTACATATAAATATCCTCATACATGTAATTATCCTCTTACGTACAGGCGTATGTAATAGATCGTAAAATAAAAACAATCGATTCTAGGTTTCTCGAAGTATAAATGTATATCTCTTCATAATATGCAAAATATATTTTTCTATTTCTTGTAAAATATTATAAACCAAGTATTTTATTCTATATAGAAATCAAATCAATTCATTCAAATATTTATATTGAAACAATTAATTGTTTTAATACATATTTGAATAAATTGATTTGATTTTCAATTGTGGATGTACAATCTATACAATGTTTCATCAACATTCTTCGAGGATGTTACAAATTTGTGTGCTAATTGGCGTCGAAAATGGTGCTGACCAATGCTGGTAGTCAAAGACGCTAAACTTGGTCTCTTAATTACCAGGTGGAGCTATTTTCGGCTCCTTATAAAACGCAAAAAATCGCGTAAGCGCAGATGAAATTGAATCTGGATATACAGATCGCGAATCAATCGCCGAGCGGCAAGCCACTTCTTGAACAATTCTAATTTAATTTATTATTATTGGGATTATTAGCATTTTCAGATTGATTGTGTATTGAAAGTCCGGTTATCGGCGCGCAATCATATTTGAAATAAATTGATTTAATAAAGAATAGATTATTATAAATATCTAACTTTGACCATGAGAGCGTTCTCTATCGTATTTGATGTATTCATATACCAATCGTTTCTTAAGTCTTAATAAAAATAATCGAACCTGTTCCAGTTTGCGCTATCCCAATGAGATCCTGACCACTCAGTAGAATAGGCCATGCCTGACATTGTATAGGACTTGGTTTTTCAAAGTTTTGTTTTCGTATTTCCGTAAGGATATCTGGAAACTCCTGCAATATAAATGAAGTAACATGTCAGTATTTGTGTTAAAATAATAAATGAATTTATAAATCCAATTGCTTTATTGACACATTATTACATGGAAAGCCTGTTCAAAAGTTTGCACAGGATTTGGTATTTTCATGTTTTCATCAGAACCTCCCGTGTTTTCAAAAACATGTCTAACTTCTATGTTATTGTTAGTTTTCCTGAATTGAGTTACCACTGACTGTGGCATATTAGCAATGGCTAGATCTTCTTTGTAAAAATTTTTTATAATAGGAGGTAAAGCCGCCCATTTCTGCTTCTGACGTTCCTCCTGTAAAAACAGTTGTGTTGTTATACTTGCGTACTCACTTATAATTTATTTTTTATTGTCGTGTGAAACATACATATTCTTCATTAGCCTTGTTCCAATCAAAATTAGCCCAATCAATGTCTTCCTTTTCTTCAGGCTGAGATGTTGTTTTTTGCACTGATTCATTTTCATGTGTATTACTTCTTTCAGTTACACCCCTTTCAGTTCCACCCCTTTCAGTTAATAACTCCTTTATTAAATTCTTAGCTCGTTGTTGCGCATCATCTGTACCAGTTAGTGTCACAGCACTCTGTCCATTTTCATTATATTGTTTGTCGATCTATGTAAAAATAATCAATCACATATATTAAATATAGGATTGAATATAATGGATTAAATTTTACAATGCATATTTTATTATTTTGGATATTTTATTTACATTAATTCTAGCACCACTATCTTCTTGTAGAGCTTTAATTTTGCTGCCACCCCTCCCGATGAGTCTTCCAATGTTACTGCTATCAATGTACATAACCAGTCCGTTTGTACCATCTGATTTTTCATCACTCTTTCTATACGAATCATTATTATACTTCTGTCTACTCGAGTCATTGTTATCTCCAAATGATCTGTTAGAGCGTCTATAAAATTGACTTTCTCGTTCCCTTCTATTTCCTCTCCTATGATCATAACCTCGATCATATCTCCTTGATGTTCTATTATCACTTTCCCAATTGTCATCCATTGTCAAAAATAATAGAAATTCTTCTATTTAAAATTAATACCTGAAATATCCCATATGACTGTGAAGTAAAGCTTTTCTTTCTCATGTATAAAAGTATTCAAAAAGTAGAAGCATAAATAATATTTTGTATTGTATTAATAAACTGTAGATAAATTGTTCCAAAACTGTTAAGATTTTCTTATTACAATCATACTAAATGCAATATTATGCTTTATACAGTATATATCTAAATAAATAAATTTTTTCATATGCTATCATTCCTATTAGATAATAGAGAAGAAATGAATTAAATGTATAAACAATTCGATTTATAAGTATTTTAAATTTATAATAATTGTTCAAGATTCATAGATCATCATTAGGCCTGTTCTTTTTGGCTGAACTTTTACACTAGTTCATCTTTCTTCCTTTTCTCTTCAGGAGGAAAGAAGAAGAAAGATGAACTAAAGTTCAAAAGTTCAGCTAAAAAGAGCAGGTCTATTAATTCACAAATTAAAATGAATTTGACTTCCTACATTTATTCAATCTGATTCAATCCAAAAGTTTGTTTTTTATTTCTGCATTTTCTGAACTGATGTATCTATAAATTCTGAACAGGTGTATCTATAAATTGAAATTAAATGTGTATTTATTTCATTTCAATTTATTACAGCATGGGTAGCAAACAAGAATGGATTGAAATTTTTTTCTATCCAAATGCATATTTTATATAAATAGAAAATACTTTTTTTAGATTTAATTGGATTCAATTGGATGCAATTGGATTGAAAAACTGTATTTCCTATTCAAAATTTTGAATTGAACAGTATTCACAATGCAGAAAGAGCTAATATTATTTTTAGATTAGATTATTTATTAGATTGAAAGGCATAGAGATATGCTCCATGCAATTCCTATAAATGAATAAAAATGCATTCAGAATTGAAAAGCATTCATTTTAACATTCGTGAATCAATATTTCTGAAAATCTGAATTCATTTCAATTCATTTCAATCAATTCTCTCGCGTTTTGGGAACCATTTAAAGAATGTAGAAATGTAAAACCTCATATTACAAAGTGCGTAACAATGAAAATTGATTTATTTTATACTAGCAGGAAAAAGCGTTTTATGATTCAATATCGCTACAGGGAGGAAATGAATGCCTTGATAAGTTCGATAAGCTTCAGAAGCTTTTTGAACTTTTCTTAAATCGTTTACTATCAATGTTCCATGCAACTCACCAGTACTTTGTGTTAGGTTTCTGATACGTGAATATTGTGTTACAACATTTGCTGAGACAGCACTATACTAATCTCACATGCTGCGACAAGAACAAACATATAAAAAAACCATAAAGGAAAAAAATAAACAAACAACCCCGGAGGACGATGAGACACGTTTTCCGTGTATGATGCCTAACTTACTTGCTTGTTCGATCAGTTTGGATCAGTTCGATTGTCGCTGAATGAATGATTGTCGCTCGAAAGGAAAATCGATGCCTTTTGAGGTTGCCGGCATCCGTTTCAATACATGTCGCACTGCGCTATGATCTCGAACGAGCTGAACGAGAACTATAATATATCCGAATTTCGACCACTTGTAGATACATCATCAACTATCTTACATGGAAACTACAACAAACCCACGTGATTGACGCTCATAATTTTTCCCGGTAACGTTGGAGAGCCTGGAGATGGACCAACGGTCTTGAAATGACTCACAACAATTAACTTCACAAAATAGAATCTGTATGAAAATCATAATTATATAATTGTAAATAGACAGCAGGAACGATGATAAGCATTCATTTTTTCTAATTGCCTGCAACGTATATGATATTATACTTATTGATATTTAATGTGTGGGTGAGTAGCGTATATTCTACTGAAAAAAATTACATCACAGTTGCATACATGATGAAATCATGTAATTAAAATACATAAATCATATAAAGGATTGTTCCAAATCAGTACGTGATTTTTTTTAAATTACGTAATTTAAAAAGTCACATGATATATTTTTTTTTCTTCTATCTCTATCATTCAATTTTTTAAATTTTGACAACTATAAAATCACATGATGAATGAAATTATTTCTAATATCATGTGATCTGAACGTTCCATTCACGATAAATTAATTACAGTCGACTTTCTCCGGCTTAGAATCTTTGAATTTCTAGTCTTTCAGTATTTACGGATGAGATATAAAGACAAGGGTATGCTCATGCGCACGTTGACTCCCACTGGCCAATCATCAGAATTGTTAACAAGTATACATCAGCGGTAAATTTGAAAGTGTCATTTCAAACATGTATATTGCACCTTTTTCCTGGCATATTGTCTGTTTTCTGAATATCGTGCATTCTTTCATTGCACAGCTCATTTTTTATTTGCAGTAAAAGCACAATTCTTATAGTATGTTAACACACAGATGCTACCCAGGAAGATTATCTCCTGCAGCTAAGCATATAGCGATTATAGGTCTTTCGCGTTGCTTGCACTTTTCCACTAAAATATCAAGATTTTATTTTTATACGCCAATATATATATATTACTACTTCAAGATGCCACATTGTGACAAACATTGCCACAATTGACAATTCTGTACAAATATGAAATTTATTTTAATTTTGATGCTTAGAAGGATGAACCTGAACCTCGTGGGCCTCTGTCTAAATTCGCTACATTCTTGTTGTTTATCATATATTAAACAAGGATGACATGACACCTGAAGACTTAGCAAACGAGAATGGATTAAAATGGATTGAAATTTTTTTCTATCCGAATGTGTATTTAAAAAGAAAAAATACCGAATACTTTTTTTTGGATTCAATTGGATTTAATTAGATTCAATTGGATGTAAATGGATTGAAAAACTGCATTTCCTATTCAAAATTTTGAATTAAACAATATTCACAATGTGTGCACAGAAAAAGCTAATATTATTTTTAATTGAAAGGCATAGAGATATGCTTCATATAATTCCTATAAATGAATAAAAATGCATTCAGGACTGAAAAGCATTCATTTTAACATTCGTGAATCAATATTTCTGAAAATCTGAATCCATTTCAATTCATTTCAATCTATTTTCGTTTGCTAGGAATGCATTAGATAGAGAAGAAACAATGACAATAATATTAGGACTCTTTTTATTTTAAACAATACAAAAAGATAAATATAGTAGGCTAATGAGAGCAGCAACGACGCAATTATTTAGTGAACAATCAATAATTAAATATTAGATTGATGTCTTCTTTATTTTGAACGTTTCGACTCTCTTTGGAGTTCTTCTCAGCAAGAATAATATACAAGTATAATATTAGCTCACATATCCATAATGCTTAAATCATCCGCAAATTGATAAAGATGCAGCGTTGTTAATTTGACATTTTTAGAAAAAAATTTTATTAGAGTGATAGATGCGTAAACAATTTAAATGACTTAAATGATTTAATGAATAACTTTAATCATGGAACATGAAGCATTGTGCTAAAGCTTTGTTGAACATATTAAAACTAAAAAGTAGAAATGTTAAAAATCAAATATAAAGATCATATTTAGAACACACGTCTGTGTATGACGACGTGTCATTCAGATATGAAGATGATAGAGAAAAAATGTCTCATTTTATCACATTGGAATCGATGTTTATTGATCGTTCAACAAAATGTTTATTTTGGAACTGTTGGAAGTTTTTTCACCCTGACTGGATTATATTTTCAGATCTAATAGTAAATAATCCAATCAGCGCAAAGAAAACTTCCAACAGTTACAAAATATGAATATTTGCAAAATATAAATATTCTGCTGAACGCAACCATGTATTGAATGACCAATTAGCAAACAGTCGAGTATCATTTGAGGAAATATGAAAGTTTATTAATGTAAAAAATAACTTTATTGAATAATTTATATACGTAAATGTAATTTTTACTATAATAAGTATATAAATCTGTAAGTTAAATAATAATAATTATATGAAACATATATTCCTTCGTTGTTAATTGGAATACATAACGGATTAATCAAAAAATTATAGTTGATACTTATTTCTACCAATTTAAATTAATTTTATAGCGTTTCTAATTGCAGAATTTGGATCGATCAGAGATTAATTAATCAGGAAGTGAATTCATCTAATCAAAATAAAGTATATGTTGTAATTAACCAACTTCTGACTACAGTCAGAAACGTTATTAATCTCAATTTAATTGATGTTTTATCCTTTTTTACTTATTAGAAAAGATAAAGAGTGAATTAAACCGAAATTAAAGTTAATTGACATTGATAGAAATGGGAATTATTTATTATTCTGTTGTCTTCTAATAGTTTCAACTGGAATGTGCAACATCTATTTTTATATAAGCAGGTCTATGCTTATAAAAAAATGTGGCACGTTCAATCGATCAAAGTTATGTCTTTGCAATCGATCTCGCCGATATGGATCATTATGCCATTTTTTTAATTAATACCGTTCGATCGAGTTTACTCGCTCAATCCTTTCGCAGGTTGCGGGAAGATACACTTTTCATTCGATTAACTGTTTCGCCACGTTCTGCGAAGTTTCGCGGTAAAACACATTCGTTAGTATTCCCGTTGATGCACGTCGTGCTGCGGCTTGAAGTTAGGCGCGCTTTAATTCTGCCTCTGATGTCTCCTCCGTTCTAAATAATTAATTAATTTTTTTATATCTTGCTTACGTTCTCAGATGTGTAACTCGGATATAATAATGTGACTTTTCCTTTCGCTGATCGTTTACAAATTTATTTCTGATTCTTTTGATTAACTGTATATACGATAGTTCAATTTTCGATCTCTGCAAATAACGGTGATTTACGATGATTGTTGCTTAATCAAAAATTAAATCGTTGCTTTATTATAATTAAAAAATATGTAAAATTGTAACGTTGAGAACTTTCGTACACTTTGCTTGTCATCTTATTTTCCTAATCTATTAATTATTATATTTGAATTCTTTGTTTTTGCCATTAAGCGTAATAATAAAATATCTGTTTAAATTTTAAATACATATTTTAATACATTTGGATATTTTAATATGTTTTATAGTATGTTTGCATTTTCAGTTTCTTTTTAAATATGCTTTACAAAAATTATACATATAAATAGAATTTTATTTTTAAAAATATTAAATGAAATATAAAGAAATGTAAACACAAATTTGGGTCTTACTACAATTGGGTCTACAATTAGTAATAATTCAAAAGTGAATATGCAAATATAATTATATCAAATCTTAATAGACTGTGTGCCGATTCTATTTGTCTATATATTGATTATTGCAATTAATGTCTTGGTAATCAAAATAGGAAGATTTGATTAAAAATAACTTTCTTCTTTTATTTTAAATTTTGATATGAGAATTATTGTCTTAAATAAGCTTAAAACGTAAAAGATTGATTGCCCAATCAATAATTGATATATTTATTATTAAAGTTGTTTCTTGAAGCGGGTTTCTTATTTAGCTATACATTATAAAAATATTTCTTATATATTTAAATATATTAGTAAGCTACATTAATAATATTTACTAAAAAGCAACGTTAAAATTCAAGAAAGAAAATTATATTCTTATTAATTTATCTACATTTTAATAATTACACACACACATACACATACATATGTATATTTATAATAATAATAGGATGTTCTTTAAATATAATTAAATATAATTTAATTATATTTAAATATAATTAATTAAATATAATTAAATATAATTAATTAAATAAAATAATTAAATATAATTAATTAAATATAATTAAATAAAATAATTAAATATAATTAAAAAGAAAAAGCTGCTATAATTCATCAATACGGAGATTACATGTATAAGTCTTCCAGAAGCCAGACTAACTACTATTATTGCAATATCTTGATTGTAATACTCTCTATTGCAGCAATTACGACTACTTGTAATTTCACCGCTTTTTATTTCAAAGTCAGTATCTACAAGTTCCGAGAGCCTCCTGTACACTCATTTTCAAAAGAAACTTTATAAAGAATTACTTCCCGATTCAAGGATATCAGTTCCTTTCGTTCCGGATTCTTCATTCATTTCCGCGGGACGGCAAGACGCAGGGGTTCCGGAATTACGCTTAGATAACTCCAATGTGCACATTTACTACAGTATACGTAACGCAAGCTATAGGAGTTACCTAGGCGTAATTCCTGAACGCACCCCAGCGTTGGCCAGCGTTGGCCAGTCTGCGGAACGTGTGTAGGACACACGAGGCTGGCGATACCTAACGCTGCGCAGAATCGTATCGGCTATGGTGTAACATGAGTTAGACGAGCCGTATTTAATTGTGCACCAGTGTGAAAAGGGACCTTGGAAAGAATGCCGTCGATATCACGCACGGTCTCGCCCTCGATAATCGTTCTTCTAATATTCGAATATTATTCGGGTGAGTTATACCGATCCGCGACGATCCGCGGGAATCGTCGCTCCCGTTCGAACGTGTGTCAGTGTTGTGCAAACTTGTATCACAATTCGAAAGTGTACGATCGAGGTGATTGCGATATGCGGGAATGAATTACGGCAGTAATTTATTCTCCAGGGAGAATCTACGCAACGTAGATTTAATTTCTAATCCCTAAAATAATTTCTGTTATAGTTCTTATTCGGCTTCTGTTAATTTATATCTATCCATTCTCCCGATCTCGCGATCAAAACCTTATTTAGAATTTCTTCCGGATTTTTGGCAAACGTCTCTAAACGCGCACGTTATTTTCGCGTCATAATGTCGCAGTATGATTCAAGAAGTTGTTATTCTAAGAATAGTTCGGGTAAAGTTGTACGTGCGACGAGCTAATATTAATCTGGAAATTTCCCGCCTCTCTGTGTGAACGATGAGGTTGATTTTTAATTGGTTTTGATCCTCGACGATTGTCGAATTTATCATTGACGAATATTACGACTTGAAATTGTACGTTCGTATAATTAAATTGTCGAAAAATGTTTCGCAGGGGTTCGTGGTTCTTCGATAAAATCTTTGGACGTGCCGATAGCTGTGCGCAACGGAACCGGACCGGTGGATTTGACCTGTGCCTACCAGATTGACGAAAATGAAAACGGACTTGTAATCAAATGGTTTCACGAAGCGTATCAAATCTATCAGTGGATTCCGCCAAGTAATTTGCAGTCTTGCCCGCACCCACGCGATCCCGTTATAACTTACACGTCGGCTCCGCGGTATCTGCGCGCTATTATTAAATTTACCTATCGGCGGCTGCGTTATATACGTAGGAACTGTCGCGATACATCGCGAAGAGTATTGAAACGATGCGCGGCTATCCGTGGAAAGAGAAATGTCGTAGCTCGAAATTATTATAGTGTATGCGACCTTAACGAGAAAAAAAAAATGTAAGCCGCGAAATGAAATATGTACTTTTGCTCACTTGCATCAGAAGGCGTAAAAAATACTTTGATTTTTTAACTGAGCAATCCCAAGCAGAATCACAAGTCATTATTAAAATGATGTCAAAATGATTATTAAAAGTCATTTTTCAATCATTTCCGATTCATTTTAATGTCATTTTATCATACATTATCATACATTATCAACATTATCATAACTTGTTCTGCGTGAAATTTTATATAATTTGTACTAAACTTTGTGTTTTTTGAGAGATTTCTTTCAAATTGCGTGTGATACTCGAGGCTGAATTTACAGCTATTAATTAAAATTTGTTTATAGTTACATATTTAACCGTAGAATCATAAATGCACGTCAAGTTTACGATAGTTTATATGATTCTTGGATTAATAATATTATAAGGATTTTATCTCGATAAGAGACTGTATTGACAAATTTTTACAAAAAACTTGATGTTACACAAACATTAAAAATAATTAAGTTTATAATTTAAATAATTAATTTCAACATTTTCACAAATACGGAATATAATGAGAAAAAGATCGAATTACTTTTATATTAATATCTTTTAAATCTTGAAAAAAAAGAAATTGGTAAATTTATTATTTTCAAAATTTAGTAAACAAATAGTGATTTTAGATAAACGACTTGGTAATGTTCTCTTCCCCAAAAGTATTATCCCATTAAAAGATACTTTGTTTAATATTATTACCTCGTTTGTTTAATTTAAGTTCGACATATCATCTCTAAAATCAGTACACAATATTTAAAAAACATTTTTTAACATTTATTTATAATTTAATATAAATAAATAATTTATTTAATATTTTTGAGCTAAATAAATATTTAAAAAGTATTTTTTTTTAATCTTTTTAAATATTATATGCTAATAGAATGCATTTATGCCACCAGTACCGCCACAAGATATTGGTATCATCGAAGGAATTGCGGAATATCCGGTTGAAAACCTGAAGAATCCATATTCGTGTTCGATGATAAGATTGAAGACTGTTACGATAAACATGACAGGCGAATATACGTGTACGATCAGCACATACCAAGATGAAGCGAGCAATTCGACAAAGATGATTGTTTATGGCAAGTTTGCAAGAGAATTTAATTAAAAATTTAGCATGTCTTTTTAATTGATCGTTCACACTGTTTAACTGATTGATTATCTTTTTTTGTTTTTAAGTACCGGAAAGCAACATGACGATACGTACTTATCCTTTTAATAAGACTCACGTGAATTTAACATGTGTGGTCATGGGTGCGCTACCACGACCGTCTCTGAAACTTTACGTCAACAAGATCGAGAGAAACAGTTATGAAAGCGATCGGGGACCCTTAACGGATTGGTACAAGGGTAACCCTCAAACATCACTGGACGTCATCGTCGAGAATACGTTGGATGCTGCTATTTTCGAGTGCGAAATGTCGATCCCCGAAACAGAATATAAACGCCGAGAACGGATCATCTATTATCCCAGTTCGAATCGTTCCAATGTGACAGTCAATGCACTTTAACACAAGTGTTCTTATTGTTATTTAACTCATTGTTAACTCAAAGTGTTCTTATCGTTATTTAACTCGTTGTTAACTCAAATTATCTTCTAAAGAGTGAGGAGAAATAATATATAGAAACCTATTTTTTGTTAAATCTCATCGGCAGAATACTTTCTTAAATAACAAACTATAAATATTAATGTAGACTTAACAAAATTTACGATAATCTTGCCAAGAATCGGACAAGACAGTTTAAACACGCCTAATTCTCGAACTTTCAAGCAAGCCTTTTTTTAATTTATCAAGTAGATGAGATGTTTATTAAATGTATATTCCTTCCTTATGTTTCAGCGCAATTACTACACTATCGCACAAATGTTTCACAAGGGAGGCACTACGCGATGTTGCTTGTCGATATCCTTTGTATTGCCATTCTTAGATTAATATGGTAGGATTAAGGTAGACTGATTTAATCACAAATTGTACTCCAGAGAAATAAATATTTATTTATTAAATAAATATTTAATGTAATTTAATTTTGGACCTCGAGCCATCAACTTATTTTATTTTGAAAAAAAAAGAAATAATACAATTTTATCTTACCGATTATCTCTATTCAACCTATTTTTTCATTTTCCTAAAGCACATATAAATAATATATATGTCGCTCGAATTGTCTGTTGATTCTTCAATGGTTTTTAATATTCGTTATTTAACCTTTTGCGTATAGCAGTCATAGCTATATCAAAATGACAAAGTGGGTGCGTGCGTTGGGGGTGGGAGAGATAATCTTGGATAGTGGGGATGATATCTGGAAGCAGCATCCTTCAAGATTATCATTCGCTTCCCGGCACTCACCTGGGGTAAGTAACCATCCGCAGCAAATCTATCTTTTAATAATTCGTACAAGTTTATAATAGCATCTTAAATTGTCACAGGACTACTAAATTCGAATGTAATTATTTTATAATTATTAAAATATATTATTTTTTATTTTCTCGTTTATAACACTACTTTTAATTTGATAATGTGTTGTACTCTTGTATAATGTGGATCGAAAATTTGTGAACAATTTTTAAAATCGTGAACAACTGATAGTTTTATACGATATAAATTCATCTTGTTAAAAACGTGCAAACAAACTGTAATTATATTTTAATTGCAGTTAGAAAGATTATAATTAAAATGAAATATATGTATATTATACTCGAATATCTTAGATCGATATTAATTCAAAATGTATGCTATATTTCAGTGAGATTTTAATTTATTAACAGTTAGTAGCATTATTTAAAAAAATTTTTTTGCGTTTGTTATTACTAACACATTTCCATTGTTTATAATAGAGCATTCGCATCTGCAACTGAAGTCATCAGGCTTATCATCAGTGCCGAATTTATCATCTCGCTCTTAATCGCCAATACTTTATAAAAAATGAATCACCCTTGGATGCTACTTTTTTTCGCAGGTAACATATAATTAACTGACTTATTTTTCTGCATGTTGCATATAAACGTGAAAAGAAAGAAACTAATATAAATAATATAATAAAAATAAGATCACGTGCCAAGCAAGGTCTTAATGCTAAGTTATTGAAAACATAAATAGTTTATTGTAACAAACATTGAGTCATTTTCAATGTTAACAAAATAAAAATCAAACGCTCATTTGAATAACGATCTTGAATAAAACATGTAACATAACTTTAAAAAGAATTCTTTACATACATAACGTTCGTTATATACACAACAAACTTATATATTATTAGAATTTTTTAAGTTATGTTACATGTTTTTTTCATCGTTATTCAAATGAGCGTATGATTTTTATTTTGTGTCAAAATTAACATTGAAAATCCAATTAGAGTCAAAATATTTGTTACAATAATCTGTTTGTTTTTTCAATAATTTAGCATTAAGACCTTGTTTGGCTCATAGCCCTATTTTTATTATATTAATTTTATAAATTATTTGAGCCTTAGTTCTTATATTATTTTTAATTTATAACACTGATAGCCTATTTGGGAGAATTACAAATCCAAATGAGGTCTTTCATAATGCCCAACGTATAAATTGCTAATTGATGATTTATTGATGCTCAGTAAAATTGTTCATTATAAAGTGTATATGAAAAAGAATGAGAACATTTAGAATGCTGTTGATAAACATTGTAAATCTTTACGTCGCATGTGACACGTAAAAGCCATTAAATCAGTTATAATGTTAACATATAATTAAAGTTGTTTATATCTCAGAAATGGTTGAGTTTTCTACCTATGTTTACTAAGGTTTTGTTATTTAGTATGGTGTATATCATATAAATACTGATTTATTTTGTATATCTTGTTTAAAAGACAGCACAATATTCGGAAAAAAATGCTGAAACTACCATTATTTTTTTCATATTATAATAGAATGTCATATTATAATGAAAGTTGTGGGCGTGACATGGTTACATAGTGCTGGTCTATCATGCCAGAGGTTCCAGGTCCAATAGGAACCAAAATATTATTTACGCTCGTGTCTCCTCTCGGGAAAGACCGGCAATCTCCCGAGAGTATCCTAGCTCACAGAAATATCTCTTAAAAAATCCGCTGTTCGGAACCGGCATTAAAATTGTAAGTCCCATATGCTTGTAGTAATTGAATAATCAGCGCACAACCATATGAGAAAGATGTAACATAGATTAGAGACCTAACGTAAGAAGAAGAAAATAGAATGTCATGTTAACTTCATAACATGTTAAACCTAAAAAGGAGATCTGTGAAATTAGCACGATTCTATTAATAAATATTTAAAAAATAATGAAAGTTCTATGGTAACTCTCTCTCTTTCTCTCTCTCTCTCTCTCTCTCTCTCTCTCTCTCTCTCTCGCTCTCTCTCTCTTCATAGTTCTACAGTTCCTTATAAAAATAAAAAACAGTTTTGTATTTTTTATATTAAAAAACCAGAATTAAAAATATGTTAGATTCGTAAATCTAATATAATACTGCCCTTCTAAAGTACAAGAAAAAAATGAATATTTTCACTTTTAATTACCCATACTTTTAGATCCCGTTAGTATTATATAATACTTTAATTCTTTTTCTTGGTAAATATTTAGATAAATATACATATATTTTATTCGCTTACATACTTAAATATGATTGAATATGTACTTAAATATTATAAAAATTTTTTTAAAATTCTACTTTTTTTATATTTAATTTTATAAAAAAATTTTAAGAAAGAGAGAAAGAGAGAGAAAGAGAGAGAGAGACAGAGAAAATTTATAAATTTTGCATTATTGCTTATGCGGTTTTTAATATACAATATCATATAATATCTCACAATACTTTTGCAATAAAGTACATTAATTATAAAGATATTTCAAAGAGAAGCTAAGTGAAGTTAATAATTACGGTATCTACAGCCTCTTTTATGTTTGCGGGATAATCGGATCAAAACCGGACTATAAGTGATACCACAGAATTTCACGTCAATCTTTCAGAAATAGTGGGCTTTTGCAGTTTGTGCTAAAAATAGTTTTCTAATCGTTCAATGCTATTATAATTCATGTTATTTTGGACATAATTTTCGAAATTAATTTTGTAAAACTAATTTGTTTAACGATAAACAAATGGGACAAGAATTACATAACTTATCGATTACTTAAAAACACTCCAATCAGTAGTACACAATGTTTCAAAAATATTAAAAAATATATTTTTGAAATATTTATTTAATGTAGAAATATTAAATAATTGTTAAAAAATGTTTTTTAAATATATTGTGTGCTGATTGGGACATTAGAATAAGATGTTATATGCTACAAATATACAAAATAACTAATATTAAAATCAAATTACATTCTGAGAGAAACAAATTAATTAAACAATAAGAAGTAAGATGTGTTTATATTTTGTAATTATGTTAGAAAGAAATATGCAATAATATTCTGGAGTTAAATTAACTAATGACTTCTACTATGTTATATAAAATAAATTTTATATAAATAAATTTTAATTTTAAAGCTTCTACTCTGACATACTTAATTTTTCCGACTTATATATAAGTAGACGTAAAAATGTATTTTATTTAGTTATTTAAGCTTTTACTGTCCAGAAGTACAGATATCATATTTTTCTAAATATACTAAATTTTTTTAAGAAAAATAATAAAAATGACAGTAATAGATAAAAAATGAGTCTTTCTATATTATAATTCTATATTACATATTTCGACGTACTACTAACGTATTACTGGTTTTTTTTATTTATAATGGAATTAACACGATTTGTTAAATTACAAAATTGTTTAAAAACATATAGGCTGATAATAACGATCCAAAATAAAAATTCCGAAAGTTGAGGAAAGTTCCGTAAAGATATGCATTGGCTTGTATAATATAACGTAAGTTGTAATTACTTGATTGACATTCATTGATGGCTTCGCCGTCACATCCATAAATGCATTGCGTTGCAACTTGGATTTATTATAAACTTCTTTCTGAGTTTTATAAATTTCTCTCATCCGTTTGACGTTCGATAAAAATTATGTTCTAATTATCGATCGTCTACGTTGTACTCTTTTTTATTATTTTTAATTACTTTTTTATTCTAAAAAATTCAAAAGCTGCATCTATAATTTTTTAATGTTTTTTTAAACGTTATTTTTTTCACACACACACACACACACACACACACACACATAAACATCAAGTTAATTATCTTTATTGATATATGTACGATTTACATAATGGATGCCTTTATCATTCTTTCGTTTTTTATTTTTTATTTATCTTTTTTTTTCTTTTTTTTTAATCATGTAACATGAATTTTGTTAGCATTTTTTAGGTCTTCAATAATTTTATCTGTTTTTGCAGTGTGTGCGTTGTGGAGCTTCGGTGAGACCGTTCCTTGCGATCAGTGCGGACGGGAGTGTGCCGACATATGCGGCACCCGGCAATTTCGCGCTTGTTGCTTCAACAATATGCGGAAGAGACATTCCGACTTCTTTGGCCTGAAATTTTGGATGAGACCACGGAGATATGCGCTTCACTTTTACCCTGATTACGACGCTTAATCACAGCGCTATACACATCCAACACAATTATGGAGAATCCCACGATATAAAGCTAGTTATTGTGCTCAATGTTATATTTACTACCCACGCATATCGTTCAATTAAAGTCGCATAATGTCGCCTATATTTTTCCCGCAACTTTTCTCCTTTCTCTTCTCTTCGGTAACACGCTTGTTGATGCCAATAATTAAAATTAAAGATATTATCCAGCAGCAAGATATTCGAATATAATTCTTTGTGTATAATATAAAAATCTCTTGCGCCTGATTTTATATATAGAATATTATGTGCGATTCTTGATTAGTTAACTTCAATGAAGTCTGTGGAAGGGGAATCGAGTGACGATATGCATATTAATAATATACGCATATATATATAAAATAAAAAGTATTTTTATTTTGCAAAAATATAAAATTATATATTTTTAAATTTGTATTTTTTTTGTCAAGCTGTGCTTATACCTCAGATAGATTTATATTACAATATTAATAAATATATAATATCAACTTTGGATTTGTTATACTGTTACAATTTTCTTGAATTTAAGTATAATTTGTAACGAAACCTTGGTCAGGTAACTGAAAAGTAATGAATGATTTAACTGAAAACTAAATTACAGTAGTCTTAAATGTAATGAATGTTATATTAAATTTCATGTACAAATATACAAATATACTTTTCAGTTACAGATACATTAAATTTAATGTCATGAAATTAAATTCAACTTGTGTAATTTAAAAATATATTAAATTTCATGTTATTTTTAACAGTGTGTGTAAAATATGTACTATTGCCAAAATTTCGTTGATTAAATCATACATTGTTAAAAAAAAAGCAAGTACATTAAAATTTTGATGTTGTCAATGAAAATGAAGTTATAAGTAATTTAAAATTTTATGAAGTTTAGTACATTTTTTATTAAATTTTATGCAAATTTACATAAAATTTAATTAAAAATGTACTAACTTCATAAAATTTTATGAAAAGTATACAAAGGTTTGCACACAATTAAATTATTCTATTGCGATTAAAATTATGCACAGCTTGATTTTCATTATGCAAATAAAACAGTAGCTATTATTCTATAATTGAATCTATTATGTAGACAATTTGCTTCCTAATATCATTTTCTATAATATTATTTCTATTTTCTTTGCATGATTTTTTGATTTTTTAAAGCTCATTCCTTGAGCAGTATTCATGTGTTTACGTTTTATTGATGTGCATCCATCGTTTGGTGGAAGATTGCTGCTACTCACAAAAGTCTCCCGATCTATTACTTCTATATAATAAAAATAAGTGGTATGTATTAATCATAAAAGAAAATTTATTCTGTATATACATAGATCCATCGTACATATATGCATACGCGCGCGCGCACACACAAATACATATATGTATACATAGTGTGTGTGTGTGTGTGCGTGTGCGTGTATGTGTGTATGTGTGTGTACACATAAAATAGAGAAAAATGACATCGCTGTAATCGGTGCATACCTCCAATATCTTCCGTGTCATTATTTGATAAAGATTTATTTTTTACATTATTGTTAGAAGTAACTTTGATATTTTGTGTCAGTCTTGAGTTATCTGTCTCTGAATCATCAATCTCCGAATCATCAATCTCTTCATCCAGCATCAAGGTATTAATGTTTTCTTTAGTAATATTACTATACGCTTCGGACATAATTTTTCTAATTAGCTGTTGCCCGGTAAATGAGTTACTGTAAAATATAACATTCGTTTTACAAAGCTAATTACAACATTAATACATTCGCGACCGACGGTTGTCGGTTAAGAATTTAGCTGAATATACTGCAAGGATCTGTCATTTAAATGTGTGTGGATATATAATAAAAAATATTGCTTCTCGATATAATACTTATAATCACTTGTTTAGAATAAAAAAAAATTAAATATTACAAACACATACTAAAAAAATATGAATGAAAAATTACTGGCAATATTAAAATTGATAGAATTGCTTAAATTAATTACATATATTTTTTAAAAACAAATATAATGAATTTACTACAATGTAAAAAATTTAATATTTTTACAGATTAGTTGTATGTCGTTATATAAGTTGTCGTTGAGTAAATGAGAATGAGTTATGAAAGTGTTGATTATCATCTCGTGTAACATATATAAGCATTATGAGTAGGAGTAATGCCGATAGTAATTTGAAAAGACGTGCAACAAGTAATAAAGTTCTAGTCATTAAAATATTTATAAATTATGAACATGAAAGGATAGCACGAGTGACTTCAAGTCTAGGATGGTCGGATTATGATCTGAAGATCCATCGAGATCCACTGAGATTCCACCTGTGCTACACAAACATGTTTTTTTCGCGTGGAGATCATCACTCCAATCTAATTCTGACATTCAGCTAACAAATTTTAAATGACGTAGGACTACGTTACCAGTATTCAACTGAAGAATTTGAAATGACATAAGAGTATATTACTAGTTTCAAATACAAGTAATTTCAAACTTACTGTGACAAATTTCTGTCTTCCCAGTCCACACACAACCACGATTTCAAGTTGTGTGGTAAGCTTTGATCATTTGGGAGCCAGGGTTTTGCACCCACATATTGAAACTGTGGTGCATATCGATACAGCTCATCGTACCAGAAGCAACATTTCAAGAGTATATATCTTGTATGAAACCTATTCAAATATAATATACATATATATCTCCATTCGTATAAAAGAGAATAATGTTAACTTTGATGAATCGTTTATAGGAACATTACCAAATTCTGCATATAGTAGCCAAAGCTATTAAAACAATCTTCCACGCTTGACCCGATTTCATTCTGGATATAAAATAATGAGAGGCAATCCATGACATATTTTCTATTCTGGTCATGAGCTTTCCAAAGCCTTGCGTTCTCGCAAGTACATACTCCAGATTTTGTCTACTAGGTAAACTATACATCCCGTCTCTCATTTGAATGAGAGATTTCAAAGTCACATAATCATTCTTTAGACACATTCTGTAACAATTGTCCAACGCTTTGCCCAATTTGACCATGAACATGAAGCCTTTGTCATTTCGAAATTTATATTTCATTCGATAAATCAAGCGATTTAGGACTGCAACATTTCTATGTAAATCATCCATTAATTCAAAATCATGGATCACTGTGCTTAATGTCTTTTTAAATTGAGATACATCAACACCTAAAAACGAAAACAAAGTTACCTACAGATGTATATTTTTGCAATCACTTTATTGTTACAAGCTGTATTAGAAAGAAGTTTTATGATAGGCAACAAATATATTAGCTCTCTCTCTCTCTCTCTCTCTCTCTCTCTCTCTCTCATAAATACTTCTTTCTTGATTTGTTTTTTTTTTGATATAATACTCAAATGTAAATATCCAAAATACATATGTTTCAACCTTCTATCTGATCATTTCCAATGTTACAAATATAGTTTACATTAAAACAATTATAATGATACATACTAAAAATTCTAGAAAAGTCTAGCGCTTATAATATTAAAAACCTCAATTCTGAAGCAACAATGTGTACTTTTTGAGAAGAGATCCAATAATAACCTTATATGATGGCAATTATAATTGTTAACTGATACGTTGTAATAAGATGGGATTCATTCCTGGAATGACACCATGAACAGATTTAAGACAAGATCCTATAACTTCTTGTGATCATATCAAGATTTTCAGATTGCACACGTTGTTACTTCAATTGAGATTTTTAATATTATAAGTGCTAGACTTTTCTAGAATTTTTAGTATGTCATTGTAATTTGTTTTAATGTAGACTGTATTTGTAACATTGAAAAGGATCGGCTAGAAAGTCGAAACGTCTGTATTTTGATTAGTTAAATATAATATTTATAACAATAGCAAAGAATATCTTGCTTGTGCTCTGAGTCCTTTAACTGATTATTTTAATTTATTTAATGGAGCATTAAATTACTTTTTATGTAAATATCCATATCTAATAAAAAAAAACAAATAATTATTCAGAACACATGAATTCGATGCATTTTAATTTAAAAATATATTGGGTCATCTAAAAAGTTGACATCAACACCATCTAGTGACAAAAATATCGCGGATACTTTTTAGATGACCCAATATAACCAAGAAAAAATATATACCAGTTCTTTTAGCATCTGGTGGCTTGATTTGCCACATTGTACGCGGCGGTCGTTCCAAAGTAACATGATTCCAAAATGCCATCATTTTTACAAGTTTCAATGATATAAGTTTACGTTACACACGTAAAATTTGCAACGTAACAAAAATGTATAACACACAATCACGTGGCGCAATTACAAAACGACAATTCTAACCATAACCGACGGAAGCTAAGAGCGAATTTACAATAAAAGTATAGAAGAATATAGAATCGTGGAGAATTGACCAATCATAGTCTCTCTTTCACTGTGATTGGTTAGCTTGCTATCTTCGACTTTCGAGCCCTGCGATGATCGCATCAACATTCAATACTCCACATAACGGCCGTTGGTGGATGATTTTATTTCTGATCGAATTTCATCTTAAAAATTTTTGTCTTAAAAGTGAGATCTGACTATGCATTGTATCCAACTCCCCCGCTGCGAGGGATCACGAATCCTATTCAAAGATATATGATGTTAGCAACATAGAACTCTTTGCGCATGTGCGACTTGTCTCGGTGATACATTCTATAACATTTTTGAATAATAAAAACTTTTTCCTAAATTGTAATGAACAATGATATTAATGATGAAATATTAATTGAAATTGTAATGAATACTGATGAAGTATTACTGAATTTCATTTTGAAATATGTATCAATTAATTGATCCACTTTTAATATTATTTCATTAAGATTTTATTATAATTTATTAAAAATTTATTAAGGAGACTTTCATTTGAATTGGGTTGAAAAAATGATTCTTTTTTGTATTTTCTTAAAGTTTTACATTTCAAGAATACTCAGTTCTAAATTATATTCGCAAAACTGATAAAGTTACAAGACCTTAAAGCGGTCACGCACAGGCAGGTAGAAAATAATTCAATAATTCTTCCGGTCGTCCCAACGGTTTTGTCTGCCTAACAGGGATTAACAGTCCTTTCTTAAACAGGGGGGAGGGGGCTTTTCATTGGGAGCGAATATGCGAAAAAAGTCGATTTTCTCGAAAGTGCGTTTTTCTCGAAACGAGGTTTTAAAATTGATGGGCATTATATCTATGAGAATTATAAATTATCCAATCGAGTTCAAATTTGGAAAAGTTTTGTTAAACAAATTTTTGCCAAGGGTACCTATAAAACTGCTAACTTTTTAAAATTAAACTTTTAGGAGCCTCCAAAAATAAACAAAAAAATAAATAAATGAAAAACTCCCGTACTTTTTATGTTTGCTAAATTCGTATAAATGAATACTAATATTTTGAAAAACGCGTTTAATTAAAATCATTCAGTTTTCTTAGGCATTTTTATATTTACTATCATAATTACGAAAGCAAAAAAGAAAATGAATGAGTATTTATCTGCTTCGTATGTCTGTTTTCAGTGGAAATAGCCCTGCTCGCAGGAAAGAGCTAAACTTGTTTATACCTGTTAGACAAGAAGAAATAGCTGTGACGCCCGGATTATTGAATTATTTTCTACCTGCATGCGGTGACCTTTAACGACTTGTAACTTTGTCAATTTTGCGAATATCATCATAATTTTTGATCCGCATGAGTACTCTTGAAATGTGAAACTTTAAGAAAATATAAAAAAATTGATTTAAACAGAATAAATGTAATCATACATATATTTAATAACATATATTTAAAAAAAGTATTTTATTCTACATAGATTCTTCATATGCCTCAGCGATAATTTTACTACAAATGTAACAACGTATTACGTGCGTGTCTCCTGCTCCCTTTAATTTTATTGTATAGAACACGTGAATATCCTTGCACCACATCAATCATGTAATCCGTCTTACGTTTTGTATTTAGTGCTAAATGGGATCCAATAATTCGAAATGCGGATATAAGATACAGTTATAATTTATAAATTTACATTTACAAGGCTTATAATATAATTTTAATATTAAAATAATCCTTACGCATATTAAAAAGAAAAAAAGGAAAGAAAAAAACGCTGTTGAATTTCGAGCCGGTTACAATGTACAATGATCAATGCTGTCGATCACTTAAAAAGTTTTAAAACGCATTAGATATTTTATTTTAAAAATCGATTGTACAATTTTAAGATTTCATGTACAGAAAGTGAATCAGGTAGGCTGGCAAGAAGCTTATCGCATCAATTATTCTTCTTGGCAGTCTCTCTTTAAAAGAAAGTGGCTGCTCGTTAAATCGAATAATTATCGTGATATCGTGTAAACAGTAACGATATAATTGCGATAAGTGCCCTGTAATTATACAAGATGTTTTTCTGTACGTTAAATTCAAAGTTATTCTATTTTATTTTACTTAAACTAGAATATAAGCTAGAGCTTCCACAATCGTAAATAAGGAAATAAGTCGAATCATATAATTAATAATAATAATGAGACCTACAATAAATTACGTAAATGAATAAATATGTATCAAAATATACGAATATGAAACAGGTTCATTCATATTGTAATAAAAAGATTTTTTTGTTGGACAAAAAATACAACTTTGGCTCTTTGTGTACGCCAGATGAAAGAAATGCTGTCAGGTGTGTGCATAACATATCGATCAAGATGAAGTTAAGTCAAGCATCGTGTTGGTGTCTTCTAACGCTGGCAATGGTAACTCATTCTTCTCCTCTTCGATTCTAGCATCCGACATCTTTAGGAACTTGATTACCTTCTCAGTAGCGGCGATTCCGCAACTACTCACTTCGTTCTGAAACAAATACGCGTGATAAACGTTACAACATATTTTTTCAAACCAAATGGAATATTTCTCGCATGGATGCTTACCGATGCCGTCAGATTCATGAAGTTGAAGAACTTTTGAAGTACAGATACCATAGTGGCGAAATTCTTGTCTGGTAGTCTACTTCGTACTAGCGACTCATACTCCTATACAATGGAAAAAAGATTTAATAAGAAAAAAAAAACTATGCTTAGTCTCTGGATGTAAATTATTAGATATGTAACAGATAGATTAATAATACTTTTTACTTATATAATCGCGTTTTTAAAGTTTTTTACCTTGTTATCCATTATTAAGTATCCAAGTAACAGTACTACATATGCTCCGATTAGTGTATGCTCCATATGTCGTCCAGCTTTCTGTAACACTGTAAAATAATAATCTTACGGTTATATTATAATGAAAAATCACAAATGCATCTGGGCATTCTCATGAAATATATAAATTAATTTTTAAAAAACATAAGCATATTGGACTTTTTTCTTAAAAAAAAATTTTAAAGGTTTATTATAACGTTAAATATTTCAATATAAGTAATAATGATTTCACTTTTTTAAACAGAAATTATAGTAAATAATACTGTGATTTTTTAAAATAATTTTTTGAAAGAATGTACTTCTTCAAAGAAGTCGTTAAAAATTGATTTGTTCAAACAATGACTATTCTATGCATTATTATTAATAAACTTTGAGCAAAATTAGATATCAAGATAGATATGTATGCATGCACATACAAGTAAACATTATACAAACATTTCGTAACAGTTTCTTCGATAAATTCTTCCTGAGATTTAGAGGTGCTCGATACTCTTTCTGTTTGCTCAGAATCTTTCTTTCCGTCTAAGATCGCGTCCGTTTTCTGTTCCTCGGCCCGCGCGAGTTCCTCTTGCTTGTAAAATAAATCGATCAGAGACGCTACGCCACTTTCCTCCGCTGAAAATACGCAATTATAAAAATAAAGGTCTTGTATTCTCACAATTTACTATATTAAAGAAATGTAAAAATCAGGTATATTTACCATCGAAAATATCTTCTAATGACAGAGGTGCCTTCGAGTTAATAAGAAGTTGCTTGTTGTCGTCGCACTGCTCTACTAAATTTATCAACAGAATTAATGCCAACATCATCATATCAAATCGTTTTTCTTCTGGGAGTGATTCAGGCACACGTAATAAAAGAAACAAACTACAATCCAAAACGCCAACTTGTGCGCCAACTGATCTGCTGCCGAAGGCTGTGTAAAAAAATACATATGTTTTAAAATAAATAACTATGAATGCACTAATAATATAAAAAGAAAATCTTACATTGTCTATTAAACCGATGAGTAAGATTGATGAGAACTTTAATAATTGCAAAAAGACATTCTCTTACAACAGCACCAGTGGAACTTTTATCGCTTGGATCAGTTGTTGGATAAACAGGAATCTCCTGTCCACATAAGTGATATAAACTAGCTAACGTGCTTACTAATACTCCATTTTCGTACTTTAATAAATATGCCTGATTCTCTTCGTTCATATGTGTTACCTAAAAAAAAAATCGCAATGTTTAGTCTCTTTTTATTATTCATTCTTTTTGTAATATAGCGTGTCATATGGGGGGAGGAAGGGAGGAGGAATAAAAGAAAAAAAGCACTTACATTTTCTAAGACGCGTAAACATCTGTCAACTTTACGTAATTTGTCTAATAAAGGATCTGTCCAACCAGATCTTAAAACATTCTGGCTGTTAATATGACGGTGACATTCTCGAATTGTCTTTACAATATGTTCCAAGCCACCTAGTCCTCGTAATTCTTCTTTGAACCATTCTCCAGCGCGTTTTGACGTAAGACTCAAAAGTGTCTCCATAGCGAGCTGACCAACCTGTTAAAAGCGTATTTTGAATTATTCGATAATAGAAATAAACCTACATAAATATAAACATGTGTATAGAAATAAATATAAATGCAAAGAATGCGTATCAAAAATTACTTACGGTGATATTATCTAAATTTAGATGCTTAGCATGTCCTTGAGCTTGTATATCAGCACATAACTGACGTACTTTTTCTTTATTTTTCAGTAATTCAGCATGACTGAGACCACAATCATCAAGAGCATCCTTATGGCTGGCATCAGATTCTAACAGACTTAACATTAATTCCAAACAATCGCGATCAAGATCCATAGCAAGACGATCTTGACTTAATACAAACATTACTGTAGCTGTGCATAGACCAAGACTCTACAAATAATAATAATAACAATAATAATAATAATAATAATAGTATCAGCATACAATTATTATATATATATACTAAAAAGTCAATTTAATAAGGAAAGCAGTTAATGTAATATGTATGAATATATAGAAATGAATAAAACTTTGTCATATGCGAGAGTTTATACCTGATCTTTAGTTGCATCATGAAGAGCTTTAAAAAACTTGGCAACAGTTCCATGAGCACGCA